TCTTGTAATTTACGTCACTCAAAGGCTTTTTAAGGAGGATGAATGCCATGGCAGTTTGGCATGATTGCAAAGTCATGTCAAAGCACTGCTGTTAGCCAATGAAAAATGAAGTGTTTACAGGTTGCCTAGTGAATCTCCAATGTCAAATTAAGGTAGGTCACTGTCGGATTTGATTGAAAAGATGATTGCATTTGTCTTCGGCATTACCAACGTTAATAATACTGTGAGACGTGATTGTGCAAGAGGCACCATTGATGAGCATGTTACTATCATCAAAGCAGTAATTTGGATAGGTTTAATCAAAGCCTCCATCAACCTAAATGTAATCCTGTTGGTTTTAGTGCTATAAACTTTCTCTCTGTTTGATGTTACAGTTGAAGTTGTCACTGCCTCCATACTTAATGAAGTCTCAATTATCTCCAGCGATCTCGGCATCAGAACTTGTTAATAAATACTATTAAAGATGTGCCGTCCCAGAGATTATCATTTTGGCCATCCTCCTTTTCAGTTCACTTTTTGCAAACAAGGTTCAGGGTTTCTTTTTTCTTCTTCTTTTTTTCTTTGAGAAGGGCTAGCTAGTAGTTTTTTTAAAGGCCACTTTTTTAATTACTTGTAAATTCATTGGTATTTGTTCACCATATCTTTTTTACATTGTTTGTAATACACGTACTAAAACTGCTTTTTATACTTAACTAGACTGGAGTACAGGCCCGTCGCCAACTCCAGGCATTAGAGGGGGGGGGGCACAGTACAAATGGGGGGGGGGGCACACCACAAGAAAAAAACACACTTCTATATAATTTTTACGCTGGGGGGCCAGTTGCTCGTTACGGGTTTGCGACGGGCCTGCTAGAGTACTTACATATATTGAATGTATGATTATAGAAATACATTCATGAAGAAATCTGAGGTATGGTACCTTAAGAGTAACGCAACAGTGAGAAACAATCTAATATCAATAATTGCAAGTTAGTGTGGATATTCCAAACTAGTTTGCTGTAAGTGAACATGTGTTCACTATTGTGAAGGTGTTCATTGCATACATTTTAAAGGTTAGTGTGTGAACTTGTTACGGATGACCTTCCATGTATCGCAGAGCACCTGCCTGTGTTCGCTCTGCATGTATACCAGAAATAGCGCCCCCAACCCCATCTGCATTACTGCGATACCGTTGAGAACGAACATCCCGATATACACACCCTGTGTCAGGGCCACAACTTGAAAGGCGACAAAATTAACGAGGATGATGTTTGGGACCCAGGCGATAATGATTGTGCTAAAGGACATGCTTGGGTAGCGTGCTAATTTGGATGAATGCTTTCTTTTAGGGCGTGCCCCTTGATTTGGGATATTGGGTTGGTGGTCGGTGGCAATATTTCCGAGATTGACTCTCTCAGCTTCTATCTTGCGCTGTTGATTTCTGGCAATACAGGCCAGAGCGACAACGGACACTGTGATTGTAAGTAAGCAAGGAAATGCAAAGACATCCACGAGGACTATAACGAGTGACAAGAAAGCTTCATTGAAAAACAGATCAGCTATCAATATGAAATCTGAATCAAACTTGCCCATATTAGTGACAAATAAACCAATGAAGGTAACAGCCAACAGACCCCAAACAATCAGAGTAATACATGTGCACACTTTGTTAGACATGAGGCGTACATACTGCATGGGTTTGGCAATTTTGAAATACCTGTCAAGGGCAACAACAGCAGAAAACAACAAATAACCGTAGGTGGAAACTGCAGTTAAACTAGCTATCAGCAACACCGATATTTTCGGGGAAAGGTAATTTGTGTCTTGATGGATGATAATCAGAAGTAACGGGCTAGAAACAAATTCAGTGACAAATAAATTTACCAGGAAATAATTGGAATGATTTCTGAGTTTGCGACAGAAAACAATAGAGAATATAAGCCACAAGTAGATAAGACAGAAGATCGTTCCAAATACAGTCATGAGCACTATGAGTATAGTTGGCAGTGATAAAACAAAAGGAGAGGGGGTTACTAAAGAATCATTTTTCCCCATTTTGATGTAGCTCAACCGAGATGTTTAGAACTCCTAGAATTTATGTTTTGCAGTTGTACAGTTGTGATTTTCTGATTTCATAAAAATTCTTCCATATAATTTCAGAAGACTTGTAGAGCGTGTTGTTTTTGAAGGTTGTGTTGTATCCTCCAAATCTTGTGTCAAATCAAAATCAAAACGTTGCTCTTATCATCTTCTCTTCTCAGCTTTCCAATGAGTGATGTAAAAAAAAAAAACGTGCAATTTGTGGGAGAATGGGGCTGAACGGGTTGAAGATTTTCCTTTCAGAACGGCATTTCCTTCTTCGATACCATGAAATCAAACCGCGGTGTGATATATTTCTGACAGAGTTTCAGAAATACATTTGTGACATTTCATCCAAATGAGTCTCTCTCATCCAAATGAGTCTCTCGTCACCTTGGCATGTGTTGTCTGGCCACAGCTTTACCATGCATCGCCAAATTCCGTGTGTGTCATATTTTGGGCTGGTGATGTTCTGACTGCAGTTTCCCTCCTACGAGTTGACAGAATCCAAAAGCTTGCTGCTTATAGCACACGTACTTCTTATGGTCAGGTACTCAGTCGTTTTTCTCAGCTATATTCCTGCGGGCATCATCACAGCATGTGTTCGAAGCTCTCTGATCCCTTCTAAGTCGTACTGCACATTTTCCACAACCTCGCATTGGTTTTACTGGGTTTTTTTTCCAAAGGAGTCAGTGCAGTGAGACGTAAGACTTCCAGTGTTTTAATCCTGTTTTGTGTTGGAACTCACTACCTGCAATGTCCTGCATTTTGTCCTCATCTGGAGTCATTAAGTCTGTCTCGTTTTCAAATGAACCACAATCTGCGAAAGAAAAGCAAACAGATATCTTCCTTCTCAGTAGGTCTTTCTGATATCTTCTGATGTCCGTACACATTCATCCCTCTCCTTGAGTTCAGCTGCCTTGTGTTTGGCAATCTTCTTAAGAAGCATCTTGTAATTTACGTCACTTAAAAAGTCTTTTTAAGGAGGATGGAGCTTTGGCGGTTCTGTGCGATTACAAAGTCGTGTCAAAACACTACCGTTAGCCAATGGTGTGAAAACGGCACACGTTTACAGTGTTCACAGGTTGCCTAGTGATACTACTTCTCCAAGTCAAATTAAGGGAGGTCACTGTCGGATTTCATTAAAAGATGGTTGCATTTGGCCTAGCCAACATTGATAGATTACGAGAATATATCATCAAAGTGGTATGGTCTAAATTTGAGGGCTGTTTTCTGTATCAAAGCCTCCACCAACCTGACTACCACTCCCCCACCCAGATCTGAACTATGTGTTCATTTTAGTACTATAAAATATGTTGATGTAACTATTGATCTTGTATAGTAAATAATAAAGTCTTCAAAATTATCTCCAGCATTCGAGGCATCATAATTGGTGAACGAGAATTAACACACGCCACCCCAGAGCTTTTTACAGGTACTTTTGAGTGGTCGAACTGAAGTTTTTGTGTCATTTTGCATGTAAATGAGTCAGGGTACAGTGCGCTTACATTGGGAAGTGAAATAAATTTGTCACGTTCCCGCATACGCACATGATCTGGCTCCAATTTTCCTCTTATTTCTGCAGAATGACAGGTCCTGTGTACATTACCGTTCGCGGAAAGCCCCTTAATGTAAGTACCTACTAACAATTTCAGCTCAGAAAAATCCGCGGATGGAAAAATGAAAATAGAAAAGTTTGATCGTTTCTCTGATCTGATACAGTTGGGTGCTACTGATGCCTGGTAAACTCAGACATGGAAACTTCATTTCGGCCACTGGTTTTGGGCTGTATATTCATTAGATCATTCTTCAAAATTTAATAAGACGTGACCTACCGTACCTATAGAAAGTTGATTGATGTTTCTGGGAATTTGAGCTGTATGCCATTCATTTATATAAGAGTGTCAATCTGCTGTAAGTTTGCGAGAGTCACTCATTCACTGTACACACTATTTATGCCGCCATGTTTGTGTGCGTTATATGCCTGGCTTTGATTTTCAAGATGGCGTATCCTGATAAAGGTCTATAGTAAGGCTGCGAGACGTAATTATTCCTAGAGGCAGTATTCTGAGCATGTCACCAGGGGAGTTGCTAGAAGGGTGTGACACCCCCACTGCATTATTCATTTATGTTGGCAAAGTCATTGTCCTGTACGCAAACTGTGTTTCCATCAGCAAACATGCTGCAACAAATAGCATCACGAATAATATTAAATATCATTTGATTTGAATGAGCTCCAGCCCCCCCCCCTCAACCTTGCCTTACCAAGATTTAAACTAAAGGCTTACAGCGCTGTATAAACTTACCTTCCTGTGATGTCATGACAATTGATCATATCACTGTCACCATATTTAAGTCTTCTAAATTATCTCCAGCGAAAATTGAGGTATCAAAATCAGTGAGCAGGTTATTGTGTTGGAAAACACGAGTTAGTTGGAGCATGCATAGACATGTATTACCGGTTCGTCAGATGGCCGATGGACTACTGACAAAATATTGTTTTCCAGAGAATCATGACTGTGCTCATATTGCAATGACGTGCCCTATCTCCTGCAAACAGCCTAAAAGCTTATTCCCTCATTAACTCTCTTGGATTAATGAAGATGGATGCGACAGCCGACTTCCCCCCCCCCCCCAACACACCGACTTTTGCTGCATCAATTTAGGTAGAAGCATTGTGTGTACAACAAATGGAGGCTGCGTTACACATTCAAAATGAAGGCTGTTTATTGATGCTCCAGTGGTAGCATCATCGTGCGTTTTGTGGGACTGGGGTTTTTTTAATTAGAAAAAGGAACGCTCTCTGCTGCAGAGGAGGCTTTTGATCTGTACCGCTTGCAAACTCTGCATTTTTACTCCTGTCATTGTATTTGCTTGATATCTGCACTTGTGGGTACCTCGTTGTGACTTGACCAATGAACAACAATTTAATATTGCATTTTGCCCTTCACCGTCGTTACTTTGTAAGCACTGCTCACTCGACAGCTTGTGAGAAAATAGCTTGCTTAGGCTGAACTTGAACCAACGACCTCCTGCTTACTAGTTGAGATGTCTCAGCTCAACTACAGAGCTTGTCAGGGGTGGCTGGCTGATTCGCATTCCATGCAGCGGCTGGAAATATACAGCACTGTGCACCCATAGAGGGCACAAGCCTGAATGTTGTCATCAAAGTGCTGATGAACACTTCGTTTGAATTCATTGTGATTCATGTTCTACAAATCAAACAAGTATTCTGGAGAGGAAAGTCTGAGAAAAACTTCATCAGTCATCTTCTAGTCATTGAAGATGTCATGTACATGTATTTGTAAGCCTTCAGCTAGCGTGTCTGTCAGCTGAGCCATCAGGTTGCTCGGAAAAAGTTGTCTACATACATTGTGCATGCATACAGTTGAGCAACAAGAGCATGTTTAATGTGTTGACAAAGGCATGCTTGGTACAGTTGTTCTGCAGTAGACTTTTCTTCTAGAACAACGACCATTTCCATGAACGATTGAATTTCTTTCTGCTGCAGTTTAATTTGCTTGATTCACCAGTGGACGAGCAGACAAGTTAGTATAACTACACTTCCTGACAGGTTTAGAGTTCTGTGCACCAGCGAATCTTCTTCATTTGGAATGAGGCTGAGTTTATGATGAATGAAGAAAGCTAGATCCACTGGTCCCACATTCAGACCAAGGAAATTTGGACCACCCACCATACTGGTTCTGTATACAACCTACTCTCGTTTGCTGTATCAGTATCTTCTCTGTAACGGCAGTACCTCAAGCAAGTACTGGCTTCAAGACTTCTAATGACAGAATACGATGCAGCTTCCTGCCAGCTTCACACAATGACTAAGCAGCTACCGTTGCGATTGCAAATGTCATTCTTGAGCACTTCTGTTTCTCCATGCAAAATTGCACAGGACCTATTGGACAATTATGATGGACTGAAACATCACAGCTGTTGAAATAACCTCCAAAAAGTTAAAGGTTTTCATGGTGGAAATTCAACTAGTAAACTGTTTGCGTATTTTTGATTTCACAACTTAAAAACCAACTGTACGTTGTTGAATTCCCGTTGATATTTTTGGATTTTTTGTTATTGTTGGTTGATCTTTTTGATCTGCCATTGTGCAATTGTATCATTTCATTGTGCAGTTGGATCTTTCCATTGTCAAAAAGCCTTTCAGTGTTTAGATATGTGAGACATTTGAGATTATACTTTGATTTCACCACCCAGTGAACATGTATCTTCTAATTACGAAGAAACAGTGAACCATGGAAACTAATGGAACTGACATGTATGCTATGGGTCCAGTGGTTCATGCATTTATGGTAGCCACTATACCCTTGTGTTTTGTTAGTCTATTGATCCATTGCTATATCATATTCTCAGTTATTTTCAACAGAACTCTGCACAGTGCGTCAAATTACTTACTTGCCAATCTGTGTGCATCAGTTGTATTTTCAAACTCAGTTTCCATAGTTACAATGTGTCTCCTTTTGCACCCAGTTGCATTGGTGAACATCACACTTTTACAGACACTTAACATTTTTTGTATTCCTATCGTGTTTGTTACGGTTTTCTTTATGTCCAGCTCTGCTGTTGTTGCCGGTGACCGCTTTGTCAAAGTGGCCCATCCATTGAGATATTTGGGCTTCATGACCGATAAGACTTGCGGCTGTCTCATAGGCTCTTGCTGGGTATTGTCCGTTATTGTTTGTTCATGTTTTGCTGCTGTGTTTGTCACTAGTGAAGTACGTACATATGTCCCTTATGGTACCGCAGCCTATTTTGAAGCCACTAGATTGAACCCTCCTTATCGTATTTTTGCCATATTTATCTCTGTCATCATTGTCCTAGGTCTACTGATTATTGATGGGTTTGTGCTGGGTTTGTTGCGCATTGCCAGAGAACAGCGGCGAAAAATACAAAACGAACTCAACATGCTGCCAAACATTGGTGCAAACAGAGTCCGACAGCTAGGAGAGGGCTCCAACAAAACCATCAGATACATCCTTTACCTGGGTTCTTACACTTTGGCCTGGCTACCTTGTGCCATTATATTGAATGCCCTTTTCTTTTCAAGGCAAATTGACTTTGGAACAAGCACAGATATTTCAATGGGGTTCATATTGGTGTCCCTTTTCCAGTTGATGTACGGTACGCTTTTCCTGACATTTATGCAGGAAGAGCACAGGAAAGCTCTGCAAAGCACATGGCAAGCTCTTGTTCAGAAACTGAAGTGTTAGATGTTAGATCCTCTTGTGTACAATCCCCAAGTCAGCTCTCGGGACATGATTGTCATTCAGTCGGTTAATGTAGGTGACGTTGAGATCCCAGTGGATGTGTAAGCTTTGCAGTATGATTTAATAGTGTTGTCAAATATAAGTGGCACACTTTTTAAAGCCCTTTTCATCATTGTTCTCTTATGAATGATGCTATTTTAGGTTGATAACTTCACAAGGTATTTGGTTCTTGTTCTTTCTTTCCTTTGAGCAAGATTTTCTCATTACATTGGTACAGTGTAGGTTGGTTACAGACTAATTCATTTTTCCAAGAAGTAATATTCTGATCATTTCCCTATCATCAATATTGTGGTAATAGTCTTAATTTGGATTAGTTGTTATCAAAGTCTCTGCCAACCTGATCGAAACACCATCCTTCCTATCTTACTAAGATCTAAACTACAAGTTAAATTGGTACTTTAAATTAACTTCTCTCGTTGTTTGATATCACAATTAATATTGTATACCACCGTCACCATAGTTAATAAAGTTTTAGGAATTATCTCCGGCATTTGAGGCATCAGAACTAGTGAACAGGATATTGAGTGGGAAATTACAAGGAGACTAGAACCAGTTTGTCAGATGGCAAATGGCCTGGACGCAAAATTTGGTTTTCTAGAGAATACGCCCTCTTTCTTGTTGACATCATAAAAGCTTATTCCCTCATTAGCTCTGTGGGACTAATGAAGATGAATTTGACAGTCGACTTCCCCTACTCTGACTTTGTGAATTGCTGCATCAATTTAGGTAGAAGCATTGTGTATACAACACATGATGGCTGTGTTATACATTCACAAAGAAGGCCGTTTATTATTAATGTCTAGTTGTGGCAGGATCGCTCAGTTTGCGGGACTGAGATTTCGTAGAAGAGATAATGTTTTCTGCTGCGCAGGAAGCTTCCGATCTGTACCGCCGGCAAAATCAGAACTTTTCTCTTATCATTGTAATTGCTTGTTATCTGCACTTTTTGGTACCTCGTTGTGACTTGACCAGTGAACAGCAATTTAATATTGCATTTTGCCCTTCACTGACGTAACTTTGTAAGCACTCGACATCTTGTGAGAAAATTGCTTGCTTAGGCTTGACATGAACCAACGACCTCCTGCTTACTGGTTGAGATGTCTCAGCTCAACTACAGAGCTTGTCAGGGGTGGCTGGCTGATTCGCATTCCATGCAGCGGCTGGAAATATACAGCATTGTGCACCCATAGAGGGCACAAGCCTGAATGTTGTCATCAAAGTGCTGATGAACACTTCGTTTGAATTCATTGTGATTCATGTTCTACAAATCAAACAAGTATTCTGGAGAGGAAAGTCTGAGAAAAACTTCATCAGTCATCTTCTAGTTTTTGAGGATGTCATGTGTAAACTTTCAGCTTACGTGTCTGTCAGCTGAGCCATCAGGTTGCTCGGAAAAAGTTGTCTACATATTGTACATACATGTAGTTGAGCAACAAGAACATTTCTAATGTGTTGGCACTTGGCATGCTTGGTACAGTTGTTCTGCAGTAGACTTTCTTCTGGAACATTGTGACCATTTCCATGAGTGATTGAATGTCTTTCTACTGCAGTTTAATTCACTTCATTCTCCTGTGGACAAGCAGACAAGTTGGCACACCCAGAACCTCTACACTTTCTGACAGGTTTACAGTGCTGTACACCAGTTGATCTTCTTCACTTGGATTGAGGCCAAGTTTATGATGAATGAAGAAAGCTAGATCCACTGATCCTAAATTCAGACCAAGAAAATTTGGACCACCCACCATACTGTTTCTCTATATGACCTACCATCGTTTGCTGTATCAGTATCTTCTCTGTAACGGCAGTACTTCAAGCAGAGGTGTACTTTACAAGGCTACAAAGGACAGAATATGTCATGCAGTTTCCCGGCAGTTTTTCACAATGACCATGCACTTTTGATTCTCTTTTTTTTTGCTGGTTGGTGTAATTTCAGCGATTTGCCATTGTGCAATATTCACAAATTCACAAAGCCTTTTTGTATTTCTTTTTGGATTTGTGAGACATTGATATGTGATATTTTTGCTTTCATTTTTCACTGAACGTGCGCTACTTTAAAAAATGAACTGATTATGAAGAAACAGTGAACCATGGAAACTAATGGAACTGATTCCTTTGACATATCTTTGGGTCCTTTATCTCATGCATTGCTAGTAATCTTTATACCTCTGGCTTTTATTAGTCTATTGATCCATTTCTATATCATTTTCTCAGTTATTTTCAACAGAACTCTGCACAGTGCGTCAAATTACTTACTTGCCAATCTTTGTACATCAGTTGTATTTTCAAACTCATTATGCATACTTTTAATGTTTCTCTTTCTGTCCCCAGTATATATTGAATTTTCGAGCACCACAATTTTACAGACACATTACATTTATTTTATTCCTATCGTGTTTGTTTTGATTTCCTTTATGTCCAGCTCCGCCCTTGTTGCCGGTGACCGCTTTTTCAAAGTGGCCCATCCATTGAGATATTTGGGCTTCATGACCAATAAGACTTGCAGCTGTCTCATAGGTGCTTGCTGGGTTCTGTCCGTTATTGTTTCTTCATGTTTTGCTGCTGTGTTTCTCACTAGTGAAGTAAATGTCTCTGTGGCTAATAGTACCACATACTATATTGAAGCCATAAGATCGAGCCCTCCTAATCATATTTTTGCCATATTTTCAACTGTCATCATTGTCCTGGGTCTACTGATTATTGATGGGTTTGTGCTGGGTTTGTTGCGCATTGCCAGAGAACAGCGGCGAAAAATACAAAACGAACTCAACATGCTGCCAAACATTGGCGCAAACAGAGTCCGACAGCTAGGACAGGGCTCCAACAAAACCATCAGATACATCCTTTACCTGGGGTCTTACACTTTGGCCTGGTTACCTTGTGCCATTATGTTCAACATGGTCATCTTCTCAAAGATTGACTTGGGAACAAGCATTGGTATTTTAATGGGGTTACTTTTGGTGACACTTTTCCAGTTGATGTACGGTACGCTTTTCCTGACATTTATGCAGGAAGAGCACAGGAAAGTTCTGCAGAGCACATGGCAAGTTCTTGTTCAGAAACTGAAGTGTTAGATGTTAGATCTCCCATGTACATGCAAACCCCAAATCAGCTCGCGGGACAAAATTCTCATTCAGTCGGTTAACCCTCCTATGGTAACATGCATTGTCAGCCTGCTTATTACTTGGGTCAATATTGGTCAAGACCCCCATTGGTTTGTAAACAGTAGGCCAGGAGGTGAGGAAGAAAATTTTGACGATTGGTGACCTCTCAAGCAAAGGGAGGGTTTGTCAAATATAAGTGTGCCTGTTGGCATACTTTTCAAAGCCCCATTTCGTCATTGTTTTCTTTGGAATGATGCTATTTTAGGTGGGTAACTTCACAAGGTATTTGGTTCAAGTTCTTTCTTTCCTTTGAGCAAGATTTTCTCATAATAATTGGTATTATAATGTAGGTTTGTTTGAGGGTAGTTCATTTCGAAGAAGTAATATTCTGACCGTGTTGCTATCATCAAAGTGGTATGGTCCTAGTTTGGATTAGTTTTCATCCAAGCCTCCACCAACCTGACTTAACCCTCCCCCACCCCAACTCCCTGCTCTGACAAAGATCTAAACTACAAGTTAATATAGTACTTTAAATTAACTTTACCTCCTTGTTTGATATCACAATTAATATTTTATACCTGTCACCATAGTTAATAAAGTTTTCGGAATTATCTCCGGCATTTGAGGCATCAGAAGTAGTGAACAGGATATTGAGTGGGAAATTACAAGGAGACTAGAACCAGTTTGTCAGATGGCAAATGGCCTGGACGCAAAATCTGGTTTTCTAGAGAATACACCCTCTCTCTTGTTGACATCATAAAAGCTTATTCCCTCATTAGCTCTGTAGGACTAACGAAGATGAATTTGACAGTCGACTTCCACCACTTTGACTTTGTGAGTTGCTGCATCAATTAAGGTAGAAGCATTGTGTATACAACAAATGATGGCTGTGTTACACATTCAAAATGAAGGCCATTAATTAATGTCTAGATGCGGCAGGATCGCGCAGTTTGCACAACTGAGATTTCATAGGAGAGAGAATATTTTCTGCTGTGCAGGAAGCTCCTGATCTGTACTGCGCTGGCAAAATCTGAATTTTTCTCCTATCATTGTATTTGCTTGTTATCTGCACTTTTTGTTACCTCGTTGTGACTTTGTCAGTGGACAACTTTGTTACTCTGATGTTACTTTGTAAGCACTGTACACTCTGACAACTTGTGAGGAAATTGCTTGCTTAGGCTTGACATGAACCAACGACCTCCTGCTTACTGGTTGAGATGTCTCAGCTCAACTACAGAGCTTGTCAGGGGTGGCTGGCTGATTCGCATTCCATGCAGCGGCTGGAAATATACAGCATTGTGCACCCATAGAGGGCACAAGCATGAATGTTGTCATCAAAGTGCTGATGAACACTTCGTTTGAATTCATTGTGATTCATGTTCTACAAATCAAACAAGTATTCTGGAGAGGAAAGTCTGAGAAAAACTTCATCAGTCATCTTCTAGTTTTTGAGGATGTCATGTACATGTATTTGTTAACTTTCAGCTTACGTGTCTGTCAGCTGAGCCATCAGGTTGCTCGGAAAAAGTTGTCTACATATTGTACATACATGTAGTTGAGCAACAAGAACATTTTTAATGTGTTGACACTTGGCATGCTTGGTACAGTTGTTCTGCAGTGGCTTTTCTTCTAGAACAATGACCATTTCAATGAGCGATTGAATTTCTTTCTACTGCAGTTTAATTCACTTGATTCTCCTGTGGACAAGCAGACAAGTTGGCACACCCAGAACCTCTACACCTTCTGACAGGTTTACAGTGATGTACACCAGTTGATCTTCTTCACTTGGAATGAGGCTGAGTTTATGATGAATGAAGAAAGCTAGATCCACTGATCCCAAATTCAGACCAAGGAAATTTGGACCACCCACCATACTGTTTCTCTATATGACCTACCATCGTTTGCTGTATCAGTATCTTCTATGTAACAGCAGTACTTCAAGCAGAGGTGTACTTTACAAGGCTACAAAGGACAGAATATGTCATGCAGTTTCCCGGCAGTTTTTCACAATGACCATGCACTTTTGATTCTCTTTTTTTTGCTGGTTGGTGTAATTTCACCGATTTGCCATTGTGCAATATTCACAAATTCACAAAGCCTTTTTGTATTTCTTTTTGGATTTGTGAGACATTGATATGTGATATTTTTGCTTTCATTTCTCACTGAACGTGCGCTACTTTAAAAAATGAACTGATTATGAAGAAACAGTGAACCATGGAAACTAATGGAACTGATTCCTTTGACATACCTTTGGGTCCTTTATCTCATGCATTGCTAGTAATCTTTATACCTCTGGCTTTTATTAGTCTATTGATCCATTGCTATATCATTTTCTCAGTTATTTTCAACAGAACTCTGCACAGTGCGTCAAATTACTTACTTGCCAATCTTTGTACATCAGTTGTATTTTCAAACTCATTATGCATATTTTTTATGTTTCTCTTTCTGTCCCCAGTATATACTGAATTTTCGAGCACCACAATTTTACAGACACATTACATTTATTTTATTCCTATCGTGTTTGTTTTGATTTCCTTTATGTCCAGTTCCACCGTTGTTGCCGGTGACCGCTTTGTCAAAGTGGCCCATCCATTGAGATATTTGGGCTTCATGACCAATAAGACTTGCAGCTGTCTCATAGGTGCTTGCTGGGTTCTGTCCGTTATTGTTTCTTCATGTTTTGCTGCTGTGTTTCTCACTAGTGAAGTAAATGTCTCTGTGGCTAATAGTACCACATACTATATTGAAGCCATAAGATCGAGCCCTCCTAATCATATTTTTGCCATATTTTCAACTGTCATCATTGTCCTGGGTCTACTGATTATTGATGGGTTTGTGCTGGGTTTGTTGCGCATTGCCAGAGAACAGCGGCGAAAAATACAAAACGAACTCAACATGCTGCCAAACATTGGCGCAAACAGAGTCCGACAGCTAGGACAGGGCTCCAACAAAACCATCAGATACATCCTTTACCTGGGGTCTTACACTTTGGCCTGGTTACCTTGTGCCATTATGTTCAACATGGTCATCTTCTCAAAGATTGACTTGGGAACAAGCATTGGTATTTTAATGGGGTTACTTTTGGTGACACTTTTCCAGTTGATGTACGGTACGCTTTTCCTGACATTTATGCAGGAAGAACACAGGAAAGTTCTGCAAAGCACATGTCAAGCTCTTGTTCAAAAACTGAAGTGTTAGATGTTAGATCTCCCATGTACATGCAAACCCCAAATCAGCTCGCGGGACAAAATTCTCATTCAGTCGGTTAACCCTCCTATGGTAACATGCATTGTCAGCCTGCTTATTACTTGGGTCAATATTGGTCAAGACCCCCATTGGTTTGTACACAGTAGGCCAGGAGGTGAGGAAGAAAATTTTGACCATTGGTGACCTCTCAAGCAAAGGGAGGGTTTGTCAAATATAAGTGTGCCTGTTGGCATACTTTTCAAAGCCCCATTTCGTCATTGTTTTCTTTGGAATGATGCTATTTTAGGTGGGTAACTTCACAAGGTATTTGGTTCAAGTTCTTTCTTTCCTTTGAGCAAGATTTTCTCATAATAATTGGTATTATAATGTAGGTTTGTTTGAGGGTTGTTCATTTCGAAGAAGTAACATTCTGACCGTGTTGCTATCATCAAAGTGGTATGGTCCTAGTTTGGATTAGTTTTCATCCAAGCCTCCACCAACCTGAGTTAACCCTCCCCCACCCCAACTCCCTGCTCTGACAAAGATCTAAACTACAAGTTAATATAGTACTTTAAATTAATTTTACCTCCTTGTTTGATATCACAATTAATATTGTATACCACTGTCACCATAGTTGATAAAGTTTTTAGAATTATCTCTGGCATTTGAGGCATCAGAACTAGTGAATAGGAATTGAGTGGGAAATTACAATGAGACTAGAACCAGTTTGTCAGATGGCAAATGGCCTGGACACAAAATTTAGTTTCCTAGAGAATACGCCCTCTCTCTTGTTGACAGCAGGAAAATTTATTCCCTCATTAGCTCTGTGGGACTAATGAAGATGAATTTGACAGTCGACTTCCCCCACTCTGACTTTGTCAGTTGCTGCATCAATTTAGGTAGAAGCATTGTGTATACAACAAATGATGGCTGTGCTACACATTCAAAATGAAGGCCGTTTATTAATGCCTAGTTGTGGCAGGATTGCTCAGTTTGCGGGACTGAGATTTCGTAGAAGAGAGAATGTTTTCCGCTGCGCAGGAAAAATCAGAACTTTTCTCTTATCATTGTAATTGCTTGTTATCTACGCTTTTTGGTACCAGTTGTTGTGACTCTGTCAATGAACAACAATTTAATATTGCATTTTGCCCTTCACCGTCGTTACTTTGTAAGCACTGTACACTCTGACAGCTTGTGATAAAATAGCTTGCTTAGGCTGGACTTGAACCAACAACCTCCTGCTTACTGGTTGAGATGTCTCAGCTCAACTACGTACAGAGCTTGTCAGTGGTGGCTGGCTGATTCGCATTCCATGTAGCGGCTGAAAATATACAGCATTGTGCACCCATAGAGGGCACAAGCATGAATGTTGTCATCAAAGTGCTGATGAACACTTCGTTTGAATTCATTGTGATTCATGTTCTACAAATCAAACAAGTATTCTGGAGAGGAAAGTCTGAGAAAAACTTCATCAGTCATCTTCTAGTCTTTGAGGATGTCATGTACATGTATTTGTAAGCCTTCAGCTTACGTGTCTGTCAGCTGAGCCATCAGGTTGCTCGGAAAAAGTTGTCTACATATTGTACATACATGTAGTTGAGCAACAAGAACATTTTTAATGTGTTGACACTTGGCATGCTTGGTACAGTTGTTCTGCAGTGGCGTCTCCTCTAGAACAATGACCATTTCAATGAGCGATTGAATTTCTTTCTACTGCAGTTTAATTTTCTTGATTTTCCTGTGGACAAGCAGACAAGTTGGCACACCCAGAACCTCTACACTTCCTGACAGGTTTACAGCGCTGTGCACCAGTTGATCTTCTTCACTTGGATTGAGGCCGAGTGTATGATGAATGAAGAAAGCTAGATCCACTGATCACAAACTTGGACCAGGAAGTTTGGACCACCTACCATACTGGTTCTCTATGAGATGTAGTCTCATTTGCTGTATCAGTATCTTCTCTGTAACGGCAGTACTTCAAACAGAGGTGTACTGGTACTTCACAAGACTTTTAATGACAGATGTCGTGCAGTTTCCCGGCAGTCTCTCACAATGACCGTGCAGCTGCCATTGCGATTGCAAATGTCATTTTTGAGCACTTTTGTTCCTCCATGCAGAATTGCATAGGACCTAGTGAAGATTGGAAAATAATGTCTGCCTGAACCATCACAGCTGTAAAAAAAATAACCTCCAAAAACTTGAAGGTTTTCATGATAGAAACTCAACGAGTAAACTGGTTGGTTGATTTTCAGCGATTTGCCATTGTGCAATATTCACAAAGTCACATGGCCTTTTTGTAATTCTTTTTAGATTTTTGAGACATTGATATGTGATATTTTTGTTTTCATTTCTCACTGAACGTGCACTACTTAAAGAATGAACTGATTATGAAGAAACAAGTGAACCATGGAAACTAATGAAACTGATTCCCCTGATATACCTTTGGGTCCTTTATCTCATGCATTGCAAGTACTTTTTATACCCCTGGCTTTTATAAGTCTATTGATCCATTTCTATATCATTATCTCAGTTATTTTCAACAGAACTCTGCACAGTGCGTCAAATTACTTACTTGTCAATCTGTGTACATCAGTTGTATTTTCAAACTCATTTTGCATATTGTTAATGTGTCTCTTTCTGTCCCCAGTTTCAGTTGAATTATCGAGCCCCACAATTTTACAGACACATAACATTTTTTTTATTCCTGTTGTGTTTGTTACGGTTTCCTTTATGTCCAGCTCTGCTGTTGTTGCTGGTGACCGCTATTTCAAAGTGGCCCATCCATTGAGATATTTGGGCTTCATGACCAATAAGACTTGCAGCTGTCTCATAGGCTCTTGCTGGGTATTGTCCATTATTGTTTCTTCTTGTTTTGCTGCTGTGTATTTCACTAGTGAAGTACACACCTATGTCCCTTATGGTACCTATTCCTATTTTGAAGACATAAGATCAATGTCTCCTGATCTTATTTTTGCCATATTTTCAACTGTCATCATTGTTGTGGGTCTACTGATTATTGATGGGTTTGTGCTGGGTTTGTTGCGCATTGCCAGAGAACAGCGGCGAAAAATACAAAATGAGCTTAACATGCTGCCAAACATTGGCAGAAACAGAGTCCGACAGCTAGGACAGGGCTCCAACAAAACCATCAGATACATCCTTTACCTGGGGTCTTACACTTTGGCCTGGTTGCCTTATGCCATTATGTTCAACGTTGTCATCTTTACACGGCAAATTGGCTATGCAACAGGCCTAGATATTTTAATGGGGTTGCTTTTGGTGTCCCTTTTTCAGTTGATGTACGGTACGCTTTTCCTGACATTTATGCAGGAAGAACACAGGAAAGTTCTACAAAGCACATGGCAAGCTCTTGTTCAGAAACTCAGGTGTTAGATGTCATATTTAAAGTTGCTCTTTAATTATTTCCTTTCTCTCTTTTTTTTCCTGATGAATTTTCAAGTTGTATGTTTCATTTGAAAGGTACCTGTTACCATCTCATTTTTGTTCATTATTTTTGTTTTGTTTGAAGCAACAAAATTGCCTAAATCTTAATTTTGAGTGCATCAGGCGTTTTAGAACCTCTTGATATTTTGGCTCAGTGCTGCAGATACATGTATTTTACATTATGAGACCTACGCAGGGCACTTTTTGGTGTCATAAGTACTCATTGTTTGTGCTTATAATAAATCTGATAAATTATAGGGGCGTAACATGTCAGTATTGTTCAGATAATCCCTCATGTTGCATTTGCTGTTGTACAATTACTTGGCACAACGTTTTCGGCATTGAAGGTTGTAGAGTGCATGTGGAGTAATATAAGATCGGATTAGTTTATAATTCCAATTTCACCAAGATTTCACCAAGAAAACAGTAGGATTGTTAAAAAAACTTAAGGTGTAATGTTCAGTATGCATAGTTGTGTAATGTCTGTAAGTGCCAGAAAAAAAAAATTTCTGTACATGCTCAGTATTTGAATCGAGCACCTCATGTATATCAAGAAAATGCAATTGATGCGTAAAGAAATGTGTAATTCCCACTATGAGTTCAAAAGAAAGGTTCTTAGGTGGTTGGAGCCTGTTAGCATTAACCAGATAAGATGTGAAAGTTTGTGCGGTGAAGAAAGCAATACGATCGAGTAAGGTCACGGTTGCACCACACAGATCTCTTTTGTGAGTTGGCAAGGTTTTGAAAAAAAAACAGGAAAAACTCAATGTTTCGTATAAGTATGCTCTGCCCATCTTCAGGAGACTGAGGGATTCCGCATCGTCCCATCTTCTGCACCGACACGCCTCATTGATCATCTAGCATCCCCTGCCCCCAGCTTGGGTCCTCAGAGTTGCATCCTTCACCCCCCCCCCCCCCCCCAATGCTCACCGCTTCCAGTTCTCTTGCATAACCACCCTTCGCCTCAGTCTCATGAGGGCTAGGGCCTAAGCAGCGGGCAGAGCACACTCTCAAAACGCTGGTAAAAATTTTGCTAGCTAAAAAAGTCGGTTACAATTTTAACCAAAGTTGTGTAAAATTGTCCAATTTTGACTGTTTGCCCAACGGTTGGGCTGTTCACCTGTTAAGCAACAGTTGGTTAAAATTAGTCATTTACCCAACGCTGGTTAAATTCAGGTAAATTTAATCAGCGTTGGGGAAAATATGCCAAACGTTGGGTAAACGTTGGGCAAAATTGGACAATTTTACAAAAATTTGGTAAAAATTGTAACCAACTTTTTTAACCAACAAAATTTTAACCAGCGTTTCAAGAGTGCAAACTCTCCGAAACATTGACCCTCAGTTCTTTTCAGAACTTCACAAGCTCACATCTGGAATGATCTCAGTACTCGTAGTTGTTAAGCGAATTAATTTTTGGGCCCAGACTTTTGGTCCTTAAAGATGGAGACGTTGATGTGCTACTCATCATTCAAATCACATATGTATAATATATTTTTATAAAAATCCTTCAAATGTATGTGCTTCGGCTAGTTTTATTGTATTTGTAAGCCTGAAACTTGCACGGGAACTGATGTCACACGGTGAATTCAAATTTGTTGTACGTGGCACCAGACTAATGTCGACAGGTTTGCTCTGTGTTAGATGGTTTTATTCACTGCTGTAAATATGCATAGCTACCGGTAAGGTGCCGGTACACATTATAGCTGTTTTGGGCCAAACAAAGAGTATGGCTGGATTGCTAAGGGATTTCTGTACTGATCAGTCCTAATTTGAGCAAGATGTGCTCAGTAGTTTTTGAGTGAGACAAAAAAGCATTAAGGGGGCACTCACATTGGCCATATTGTGCCAGATGAAATGACCGCCCAAAATGGTGATTCATCCCTTTTCCCAGATCCCCATACGTGTCCTGTACGCACACATTTTCTAATGGTCCATATTATATAGATTTTCTGGGACCCAACTTTTGAAATATGGCTAGTAAACAGTATGTGACACTGAATTTTGGCAATTTCCGGACAAAAGTGCATAGTTAAAAAGGTAATTAGTCATTGTTTTGAAACTACATCGAGATGGTAACTCATTAGATGGAGGCTCTATCATAGAGTAATAAAGTCATTTTGTCAAGCTGGGAGAGCTTCGTAAACAACTCCCCACCAAATTATTAGATTTTTTTAATGTAATGGCTTAATAGGCATTGCAGATCTTCTGGAAAGGTTAATAGATGATTACACTTAATGAGCCAGCATGACAAAGTGGTCCCCAACAAAATTGGCAATTTAGGGGAGTTTTTAAGTGCAGATCAACTTGAATTTGGGGCTAGATTTGAATGAGTAGGGTTTACCCCTTCATGGGTGCTGTTTTACAAAGAGTCACTGAAAGCTTATGTGCACTGGCAGGATCGAAACGGGTCTTGTGGCAGCGTAGTAGTTATTAATTGCATAGCATTAGTTATTGCGCATTCTTTGAAAAATAGGTAAATGTTTGTAACATGTCTCTGAAGCGATGGTCACTGTTGCCCGCTACTGTTCTGATGTGGCATGACGTGACGTGTAATTTTTGTGTGTGCAGATTGAGGTTTTCATATTTCAATCAGACTGCAATTTCACCCCTGCCTTCAATATTCACTGTTCAACAAAATAATTGATTTGTTATCCTTTTACTGATAATTTCACTGATTGTGTAGAATTTATAAATATTGCTTGATTATGCATTGATTATGCCCTGATTGATTTTAAAGTGAAATGCAACAGTCAAATTTTGTAAAGTTGTGTAATGACACCTGCACTTTGAAACCAAATTGACAGAAATCTGCTACTATTTTTGGCAAATCTTGAATTCTGTGGTATAGTCAAATAAATATTGCTGCTTCAAAAATCTTTTGGAATATATGTTTAGTCATTTATTGTATGTGACTGTTATTGGAGAAGATCAGGATAGGGCCCCCAATTTGTATCTGTTTTGTTGAAGTTAATCAGAACCAAGAAATCGTTTAGTTTTATCTCGGCCATACCCTTCTGTACCTGAACTTTGTTCTGAAGATAGAGACTAATCCCGCGACAGCCATTTTCTGAGGTGGCACCAGGCCTCGTCTGTTAGATTGCGTGGGTCATGCGCGGGATGGCACCACTTCAAAAATTGCTTCTAACTTTGTTTGCCGGAGTACACTGCAGGGAACCAAGGTTTTGTCAAGTGGCATTTTGTTTTTGAAGAATTCAATAAATCATGCCTGTTTAGTCCAACTTCAAATTTGTTTTGCATTTTGGTAACTGATCAGCAAAATCATTTAAGATACGTTCCAGCTTTGGCATCTTTGACTTGGAGTTAAAAGGTCATTTTCTTTCGCAAATAATAGATGCATAAATTCTATAATGTTGCCAACTATTAAAGTTTCTGACTTCTTTTAACTCCAGAAGCCTTTTGACAAAGCAAACTGGCTTTCTATTTTCGAGAATTATTTTTACGATTTTTTTTCCACCACCACCTGTATTTTCCCTTTTCATTAGCAGCCGCAGTCACAGAAGGAACCAATATCCAGAAAGGAGAGGAGGCCGATGACATAATGACAGCAGCCAAGCTACGGAATCTGGCCAAGAATATTGACAGGTATATAGGTACATGCCAGCCCGTCCGTATTCAGTCCTGAACTCGGAGATGGTAGAGAATGGGGAAGTGTGATCGAGGGATTAGGGTTGGTGCCTCATGATCAGAGGGTCAGGGGTTCGAATCCAGCAGCTGGCAATATGTTGTGTCCATGGGCAAGCCACTTTACTCCACTTGCCTCTCTCCACTTTTCTTTGGTTAAATCTGAAGGATGCACAGCAAGGTCTGTTGCAGAAAACTGACAGGAAATAATAACCGAAGTCAGCCTGTAATCTACAGGGGTGTGAAATCTCAGCTTTAAAGCTGATTTCAGCTTTTTTTGTTTTGGATTTCAGCTTTTTTCCCTCACTTGCTGTGTACAAAAGTATAGGAGATTTCCAAAGTTCAGCTTTTTTACACCTTTTACAACTGTTTTCAGCTATTTTTATCAGTGGTCACTCACACCCCTGAATCTAAAGTGTTCGCTTGTCATGGTAATAATGTTGTAAATATAGCTAATAGCTGCTGTTTGAGATGTTTGGATTGATGTTTATCCACTTAACCACTTCGCACCGGGATTATTTTGACATTGACTGGACCCAGGCGTGGGATTGTTTTTCACGAACCTCAATGCCAGATGGGTTCAGGCTATCATCTGCGGGTAGCCCGCCCTAATATTTCCAGCCTCGCTCACTGTGAGCGGGTCACAGACAGATATTTCCAGCCTCGCTCGTTGCGTGTTTATCCACTATCCATTCCGAATACCGCGAAACCTTTACGTGTATACACGTCATCCGACGTGAACTGGTTTACTCCAGTGTTCTTGATTAATGCCCTTAAGCAGTCATGTCTTTGACATTTGCCTTGTCCAAATCAGGATTTATTGAGCTATGGCTTATACATTGAACACCAGTAACGGTACATATAATCTATGGCTTGAGACAAATTTTTCATGGGCTTAAGTGTCTTAAGGGCTTAATATTGATTCCCTTCTTTCTTATTTTTTTTCCAAACAGGAGAGCGCAGAATCGCAGCATGAGGCGTATCGAAGGCAACCTGCGTTACGACATGACGGGCATGTCAGACGAGCTAGAGACACAGTCTAGCTTCATGAGGGTCAACTCTGCCGGAGACATGGACGGGGAATTGCTGGAGGAGTAGATACAAAGTTAAAGGCTCATTTTGATCTCAACACTACCTAAATCTCACACCCATTTTAGACTAGGGTTTCTTAACTGGGCCAAATTCAATTACCGTGGGCTGTTCAAATCACTTTGGGAATTGGAAACCAACCCAACAGCCAAACCTTACACTGTTTTTGCAACAAAGTGATTACACACATCGACATTCACCTCGCCCAAGAAAACCACCCTGCAGGCAAAATTTCGGACCCATCACACCCACTTCCTCATCATGTGTAAAAAAATCATCCCTCCTCATCTTAACAGAGCCGCCACCAGTAGCTGTTCCTCTTTACTTCTATTATCTATCAAAGGAGGCAGATGTGAGCTTGTTACAGGCTTCAAAGATACCGCAACCTTCAACTTTGTCTTTCGATGTTTGACGGAGAAAATGGGAGGAGGAAATTATTTAGGAGCAGCTAGCTGTATAATAAAAATAATAAGGTGTGTTTATATAGCCCAATTTCATTTGAAACATATCCACCAGCATTTATTTGTTTTCAAGGTGCTACATCACATGTTGGGCCAATGAAACCATAGAGAAAGTATGATGAAACGTACCAAATACCATCTCAGCTCCCTGGGGAGTATACAGCTCGATGCTGCCATATCGGTGCAAAGCAGCTAAAATCAACCACAATAACCATTTCTACCCACACAGGTACCCAATTTACTCCTGGGGTGGGGAGAAGCAATGAGTGATAAAGTGCCTTGCCCAAGGGCACACACGCCATAACCCCAGGCTGGACTTGAACCCACAACCTGCAGAATTACCGGCAGACCATGAATTCAGTGCTCCAGACCATGAGGCCACGACACCCCACTTTATCCACTACATCTAATAACCAAAACACTGCCCCAGTATCCCACTTAGATATTCGATAATGGAAACAGGTTCTGGCGAAGGTTTGTTGTTCTAATGACCTACAAATCACACAAATAAAGCACTGCGTTCCGCACGTATGCTTACTTTTAATAAGGCATACATGCGGAACTAGGTTAATCAGACTACATGGAAGGTCAAATAAGTATTTGGTGTTTTGCAACCAAAACAATTTCAAAAGCAGTGATGGGGTTGGCCATTATCATACAATAGAGCCTTTTTTGAGGTGATACACATGAGAAAACCATTTTGTGTATTCGTTGTTACACGATTCGAATTAAAAAACACTCCTCAAAGATACCCTGTAATAATATAGGTTTTCCCGGCTATTTTAAAACGTTTATCATTCGAATTCACCATTTCTAGTATTCAAATTTGTCCAGCAACATCGATTTAGTGCACTTCCAATGTTTAATTTCGTCTTTTTGTCATACAATTTCAAAGTCAGTTCAAGCAAATTCAAACAATGAGCACACGTTTTCTTTACGGAATATTCAATTCTTGTCTACGCCAAACCTTGTTATTCAGAATTCAAATTCGTCTAATTGATTTATATAAGACGAATTCGATCTCTGAATGCTACCATTCGGCAACAGCTACTGAATTTGATGTGTAATGACGAATATTCTCGACGCGGTGACTAAAGAGGGTGACCAAACTTTAAAATTGAATGGCAATTGACTAATATTGTTGAAAGCGTGTGAATTTTTTTGTGGATGAAATTGAATGATAGAGTTGGTGAATTTGAATGAAAATCTTTTAAAATAGCCGGGAAAACCTTAATCTATATAATACGGTTGGGGATATTTTAGAGATGATTAGTTGAGAACATGGAGGAGATACACAATTTATAAAGCGGAATCAGGCCAAAATAGGATTGCTTACGAGAAGAGTGAGACAGGATTGTTTTTTCTTTTACAAGTTCGAAAGTTCATGTGTACATTGCATATTCCATTATATTTTTCCTTGAATTGTTATCCATCCTTTATATGTTTATTTTATTGCTTTTGTTTTCCAAAGTATAAAACCCCTATTTATAATTATTGTGCAACTTGTTTTTTACCAAAAGCATAAACCTATATGCCTTAATTGTGTATAGCACTGAAGATGGACAATGCAGAGGATGTCGATACGTGTCGGTGAAAAAGGTTTTGTGTGAAATGCTAACGATATATATCAATTTTGTATGCAGTTTTATATTTTTGAAGGGAGGACATGCCTCAAATAAAAGTTTGTCATTAACCTTTTGTGAGTGGTGTCAGCAATATTTTGGTACCAACTTTGTTATGTTTTTGTGATATCATGCAGCATTGTATTATAGGGATCTTAGATTGGACATCACAAACAGTTTTTGTCTTTCCGAACCAACATTCACATTTGAACCCGCCCACAGATTTCTAGCATGCCCCGCCCCTTCAAGGATACCTCCAATCGCCCTAACCGTGCAAACAGCTAGTCTGGCAATGATAACTGACATGTTCTATTATAAATGGCCCATTGTGGCCGCCATCGGCTTCAATTATGAAGAAGCGACCCTAATTGTCTGCCGGTGAATGACAGAGCACCGTAATTACAGCCCATATTTCCCCCGGGCTTTTCAGCGCTCCCGACCCACGGATACTCCACTAAATGCGCTTGTCCATCACCTTTGGGTCTCACAAAGAAAAACGGCCTTGTAGTGAGCATCTCTCCTGGGCCAGAAGTACCCCGCGCAGGGGGTGCTCTTTCTCTTTTCTGTTCCTGTTTTCGTAGTGTTTTGTTCTTTCTGTCCATCGGAGATAAAGCTTCCGTGCATTCCAAGGCAAATGCATAGGTGGTTTTTTAAAATATATATATATTTGGGGGTTGGGGGTTGGAGAAGGGAGGTCAAAATACCCTGTTTTGATATACTGAATCGATCATTAGAGGCAGAAAGCTTGGGATTACGCTTGTCACAGTTTATTGTAATTCTCTAATGAATTACGAGCTAATGCTGTGTAATGCACTGTGCTCTGGTAACCAGGAAGGTGTCGGCTTGCTCAAGAAAACAACCGTTAGAATTATGGCCGAGGTCGAAAAGTTATCCGAGGGAAAAGTGGAATCGAACGCGGGAGATTTTTGTAGATCGGAGTCGGTTGTCACGTAGCTCACATCTCACACGTTCGCGGGATTTATTGAGATGGGATGTTTGGCCAATGATAAGTCGGGTCTTGCCAGCCATTTTACAACACATCCAAAGTCATAGTATTGTGGCGTCATTAGAAGATGTGCAGAAAAAACGTTTGAGCATTAACAATAATTGTGTGTGGTTGTGCCGTTTTAGCTGCATGCACTTGTTAAGAGCGATTGCCATATTTTGTTCATCATAAAGACGCAAATCAAGCACCAGTGCAACTACATGTATAGAGACTGATTATTTCAGCAGCCATCTTGGATGGTTTGTTTTGTTAATTCATTAACAATGAATGCCCAAGATGTAAGTGCAAACGATCAATTATCCCCATCGCACCATGACAAATAGAACCGGCACCCACTGGAGTCTTGTGGTAAACGACCAAACGTTTCACCAGTTTTATTTCAAATTTCAGGCAAATTTCCAGTGAATTGTGGCTCGACAGCTTGGCTGAGTTACTTGCTTTATGTTTCGGCTGCATGCCTGCATGCATGTACAAGAGCTGATCAGCTTTGCAATAAAGTTTGCATTGTTGTGGGGTGGACCATGCAGGAATAAACCCTTAAAGGCTTTCAGTAATGTTTTTCACAACCTTGCTTAATAGACCTAAAGACATAATTACGTTGTTTATTGTTCGCAATGCATATGGGAGCTTGGTGGATCTTGTCCCTAGGAAAGCGCACATGAAAGCCTGACGCCATTATGTCCAAGGTCTATTGCACCAGTAAATCTTCAGTAAAATAGTACCAATAAATAATTGTAGGATTTAAGCATTTTTTTACTTTAAAACCTGGTCATTATAGTGTTGGTATTCTGAACTTTCTCCAACAGAAAGTAGACCTTGGATTGATTATTTACTGAATTTGGAAAAGTATGCGTGGTAGCATTAAACTGTCGCACAGGCCCCCCGATCCCCAAACCTATTGATTCCATGATGGGCTTAACTTCTTACGCTGGCAATTCGATCGGCCATCTATTAAGGCTTTTGTCAGGCCGGAGAATGGCCGGACTGACTCCTGCAGATAACGGTAAATGCGATCGATAAATGCGCCCGTCCCAGATAAACGGTGGTGCCCTTGCGGGACTGGCCGGTATACGCATAGGAGATTTTGCCTCATAGGTCCACGTTGGGGGTAAAACTACGACGTGATCGAACGCTGAAGCAATTTGTAGTTCGGTTGACCAATCGGGTTGGTACACCTAAAAATAGACTGATTCTGTGGCAACTATTGAAACTCTACAATATAATCACATGCGATCAGTCTGATGACAGACAACGGAGCTCTACCAAAAATAGTAGTCTGTGAGGACTTCGCTACGGAAAGGAGACCATCACTTGATGTCATCTTACGGTTGGCTGCTTTCATTGCGGGCTTTGTGTATTAAGCACGATTTGTTGAGCTTTCGCCAGAGAGGGTTGTTGTTCCGTCCCTCCTCTGTGGTCGTTTTATTTATACGCGAGACACTAACAAGCATCCATCGAGTAAGTGGCGACAATGTTGTCGAGTAGCACTCCAGATCTCCGAGAGGGCTCAACGTCCTCTGTGTCGGTCACATCATTGATGGGTCGTTCTGTCCTCATCACCCCGGGCACCGACAAGCCATCGCACGCCGGGACTGTTAAGGACGTGGTTCCCCGCCCAGGAAGCGCCCCGGCAACCAAGTTTAGCGACTGCGACTCGGCGTTTGAGGAGGGCGTTGATATGGTCGACCCCACTGGTGATTTCGGGGACATATTCAGCGTCCTGTCCATCGATGACGACCCGAAGCATTCAGAGGCCGACCAAATGACGACTCGTGACACGGATGACAAACCAAAGAATTCTGAATCAATGATTGGCGATCAGAACTCGGGAGCAGAAGACCGAAATCAGTCCCAGATATTTCCCAGCAACCTGGGTGTCTTCAGGTCCATCATACCGGCTATTGTCGAAGTGAGCGGGGAGGAGTCGGACAGTTATCAAAGTAAACCGAAAGCAAATCCTCCTCATCGTACCGTCGTAGACTCATCTCAGTCTGAATCCCAAGCGCGGAAGTTGTCTCGTGACAAGACGAGTCTGGATTTCAAACCACGTCAAGTAAAATATCTCCAGACACCACAGGTTTGTGTCTCGACGAGCGACGACACCTCTTCGGACTCGAACGATGAGGTGTCCCAACTCACCCTGCCGGCGATGCGCCGAAACGGCGGCGCCTTCAGGCGCAGGCACTCCCTAGCCGCCACCACTCCGGACCAGATCACGAGAATGCTGCTCTCACACCGCCGTGGATCCTCCTCGGGCCTGCCCATCCCCTGCGCTAACTGCTTTCAGAAGATGAACTGCGAATCATCTTCCCGTTGCAGAAAACACGTGGACAAACTGAAGTCTATAGAGGGTGAAAAGTACAGCCGTCCCCAAAATCGTTCATTCTCCACGACAGCAAGACCGAATAACCAACATTTGTTTCCACACCAGGCAGTACAGCCTCACCACGGACCCTCGGGCAGAAGAGCCTCTTTCTCCAGGCCCAGATCTCCCATCCGGGTGGTCACACCTCAAGATGCTCCCCCGAGTTCCTCGATGCACCTCCGTCCAGTGTCTCCGGAGCCCCTCAGCACCACAGCCAGCGACAACCCTCAGGATATCACCGCTCCGCGCGCGGTATCTCCTCGTGCCGTGTACCCCTCGTCATCCGGACATCTGTCACCGAGATCGCTGTCTCCCAGGCCACTGTCACCCAGACCTCGGTCCCCGGGGTTGATGCGGCAGAGATCACTATCACCAAGAGATGAAATCGAAATGATCTTGTCCTGTACGCCACCCACGACTCCACCACGATCGCGATCGCCATCCATATCGCCAAGGCCCTTCTCGTCGTCATCATCATCGTCCGTGTCTCTAACCGTATCATCTCAAGAGCGGTCAAGATCTCCTGCTTTGAATATGATGTCCATCGGTCATCAGAGCTCCACCACAGTACCGCCCCATCAGCGCGCGCGTTCCCGATCTCCAAGACCCAAAGACAGACACGGAGGGAGATTATCTAGGAGACCTTCTTTATCAACCGGTGATACAGGTGAGCCCGAGAGTGCAAGAACTGAATCCCCAAACACATCATCATCCCTTCGACCTAACCTCGGTGTTCCAGGTAAGCCGTCTCGAACCCGATCTCGCTCACCGGTGCCACGCTCCTTGAAACCCGGCCCGAGTCACTCTCGGCCCAGCTCCCCGCAACCCAACCGGGCCCGCTCGCCCAGACCAACCGATCATGACCGCCGATCATCCCGTCGCGGGTCCCCACTGGCCGACATCGCCGCCAAGACAGCTGAATTCTCGTCCCTGGGCGGGGGCGGCCTGTCCCGCCGGCCCTCCCGCGCCCCTAGCCCTCGAGTTCCAGACGATTCTGACGACGGTATTACCGACCCTGAGAGGATCGTGATGGACCGGCGCAGGAGACGGGGCTCACGCGCTAAAATCCTCCCCATGAGTGACCACCAGAAGCTTGTCTTCTCCGCCAGGCAGTCTCGCAGAAAATCCATCTGTATCTCACATCCTACCCAGGATGGGTCCTCCGCGCCAGGACCAGCAGAGAGGGCCGACATCCTCGCCAAATTGTCCAAGAGGGGTCGTCGGCGATCATCATGGGCTGCGACAGGTGAACCACTCATCCCAATGACTCCAGTCTCTGCCCTAACACTCTTGCGGGAAGGTAGCAGTAACGGTAAGTCATAATTTTCATTCACCCTTTATTTCCTAATATAAACACTTGAACCATTAATGTAATTAAATAATTGGTTGGGTGTCAGACAAAAAAAAATATGTGCGCGTAGCGACAGACAGAGGTAATAGAAGTATCTGACCGTGCACAAATTAGCATAATGTGGACTCATTTCATACCTAATTTAAAAAAATTGAGACGATTTTGTACATTTTGTACTGATTTCCAAAACGTGTAACGTGGTGTGCATGTGACCAATGATAAATATGATAAATATTAACACAAACCTCAACCATACCCGTACGCTGAACTCCCAACATTACATATTGAACTTGTAAAACTTCATCCTCACAAAAGAACTTCTCAAAAGTAAGAATTAAAATTCGACAAGTGCTAATGCGGAGAGCTGAGAAAACAATCAAACAGAAGCATTTTATAAGCAAGACATGCTGAATTTTTTTTTTCGTCCAAGGCAAAAATTAAAACAATACAAAAAAACCACCAAAATCCACCTCCGGTCCCCCTAAAAAAAATCACTTGCAATACCAGCTGCGAAATTGTAAGCAAAGATCCTGCATCAATTACATGTATAAACTTACAAGTATATACTGTACTTACTCATTAAACATACTAGAGTAACGAACAATTTGTGCTATATTCGGAACTTAGGAGGTTCTGACACGAAAAACAAGATCAGGAATATTTTTATTCATCCCGAAAAAAGTTTTACAAAATAATTCAATTGGCTATTTTCATAGAAATATAAAAGATATTCACTTTTGAATGAGACGTAGAACGAAAAACAAATCCACCGACTTTCAGTTATTGAATTATTTCTTCATAAAAAATCGAAATATTAGCTGCCAGACAATAATTTGGCTCTCGCGGGGCGGGTCGGCAGACGCCCAAAATCGGAATAAAGAAGTCTCTTCGTTAAAACAAACACACAAATATACATGGAGAAAAATGCATGTTTTGATGAGTACGGGGTTGCATCTGTATACTTTAAAAACATGTTCTCGGTTCGTTTAATTAAGGACGCTGCCACAGTTTTTTTTTACACAAGAAGTGACGGTTGTCGATGGGCTGCAATTTGAATCATAGAGCACGATCTTTGTAAATAGTTAACAGTAAAAGTAGCGACCTCCACCGCCCCGCAAATGCATCGCTATAGTGTAAACAAAATGAGGGTAAAATGCACTTTTAAGTGGATTGAGATTTATTGGTATCATCGGGAGTACCGGTACTTTGTAACTTTTCCCCCCAACACATCCTGAAACATTTTGCCAAAGTTGTGGACTCGTTACACCAATGATGTCGTTTCGAAAATCTTGTTTGCAGAGAACTGAATTACTACGTGATTATTCATGTAAACATGCCATAAGTAGCTAAACACCGCTTTCTATATAGTTCAAAAGAATTTGTAGGAATTACATGAAAGGTGAAATTGTGGGTCATTCTGTGAACTGATGCAAATAAATTATTTGGATATAAACAAGTTGTAAAATTTTACGGATTAAAACTGTTCTTCAGAGAAAAGACAAGTACCTTGTGGTTGGTGTGGCTACGCCAAACATTCGCACTTGGGCCTAAGTTTCTTGATAATAAGACTCGACAATTGGTGTGTGTTTTTAAGTACTACATGCATAATTGATAGGAATCTAACCTAAGATGTCTAAGCAAGTCGACTGCCAAAAATGACGGTGCTCACTGACCGGTCGATTTAAATCTTGAAATATTTGCAAAGGGTGTCCGAAATAAAATTTCAAAACTTACTCTATGGGAGAAACTTATGCGCCTGGAGTTCGTTTTGTTTTAATATGCTTAACTAAATTACACATTACCAATGTTCCAAACGTTAAAGATACTGATGAGAAAAAGCATCCTTACCAAAACATCAAACGATTGTCAGATGGCCACTACTCAGTTTTATAGGTTTTATAGTAATTATTATTTTTAGCGCAGGCTTCAGCCTGGAGAAGAAAATATACAATTATTGCACGTAATAATTATATAAATAATGGGTTGTAATAATTATAAACAGAGTCTCTGTTTGTTGTTACTATGCCAATTATTAGGCTAAGTATGAGCCCTATTTGAGAGACCAAACATCTTTTTCACTTAGCATTTCATAAACCCTCACACAGTGCAACATCACTGAGAAGAGTTTTCGTGAGTTACATTAATTGACAATGAAAGTACATTACTCATGCGTATATCACAGATGAACAATGATCTGCCTCGGATATTATGACGACAAATGCAAGGGGTCTAAAGTGGAACGGTGAAGATACAAACAGGTACGGAATGCCCTGAGGCGGGGAATAAACGCTGGCTGTTCACCCCATCTCAAAACAAAATAAGGTGGTCCGTAATTTGTCACCGCCAGCAGGCATATGATCGATAACGAACTTTTAAGCGGTCTGTCCCCTGACAATAGCTCAGGTGTTACCTTTGTCTTGTTTCGAACACCAAGACACTTTGTAAGTAACGGTGCTTTTGAGGGGAGTGCGAAACCTTTCAGATTTCAAAACTTAAGTCTTTTTGCGGCAAGGTAACACCTTAAACCGCGCGTGAAACTAATCAATAGATACTTTTTAGCAGACTCACTGTGCATCCGGCTTTTATTTGGAGTTTACATCCGTGTAATTGCACACTTAAGAGTGAAACTAGTTCCTTTTTTACATTTTATTGCAGTCTGTCTAAATGTCCATGGTGCTATAGTTCCGTCCCGGACCAATTTAATTGATTCTTGGAAACTTGGCCATTCGGGCCAACTTCTTTCTTTACTTGCTTTGCTCTGACTTTTTACAGCCTGTTTGATGTCTTTATTTTCTCGCCCACTTTTGTCAAAATTAATTGGGTCTTGATGAGAAAAGATGTAAATCTCCCTCAGTGAATCGTCTTGTGAGACCGTGAGTTCTGCTGAGGTCAAAAAAATAGTGTCTCGTAATCGTACGATTATGAAGTGGTGGCAGACGGCTCGTATGGGTGCAGGCCATGTTAAAAGGCCCGAAATTGCCTACCAGTCACGATTTGCGTGCCCACAAATTCTCCGGTATTAGAATATTTTGAGCGCCATAAACTTGATGGGGAGGGGACTCCAAAAATCGTAAAGATTCGAATTCTGCTCACAACACTCATTAATTAAATTCTTAATCAGATAGATTTTCAGGTTTTCATTCAATCGAAAGACATATAAGTTACAAGAAGATGAATCTTTTTGACGAGGAAAGAACATCCAGCAATTGCTGTTCTCTCAATCAATATTTAACCAGAAATCTCACATGACTGGGCTTTTTTCTCTGACGTCATTTCACTTGTGCGGCGCCTATATGTCCATATTTACCTAAAGTTAACAATGCCACTAATTGGCGCTTTATTTGCTATTTACTTTTGTGTGATTTATAGTACTTCGAGTGTCAGTGAGGGGTCCCAAATTTCCTTCTAATCTCATCATTAAGCGCGAACTACAAACCTATGGGTCGGCACACTCTAATCACCTTACAATCAAAATCCGACTGATTAACTGAACCATGAACACGATAGACATCATGCATAAGAGGATTCTGTATCATTATCCTGCTAGCTCAGACGTATGTGGATTTTCTTGCTCCACTGCGAATAGAAGATAATGAACACCAAATAGAAGGGATAAGCCGTAGATAGATAGAGGAATCCTTTTATATTTAAGGCTTTTGAATAATGCTTAAATGCAATCGGAAATTGACGGGTTACGCGCACGCCTCGGGTTGTTGTCTAGGAGACGTTGTAAGTCGCGAATTGAGTTAAGTTGCCTCTTGATGGTTACATGATCGGATCGGACTCAGGATTCAAGGCTTTTAGCGACTTAGGCTCAGAAGTTTGAAAGGTGTCTCAAAAACTTAAGATGCAAAAGTATCGTTGTTTTTCAAAAAGTCTACTACACTGAACTACTTGTAGTTGTATATCTTTTTTTTCACTCCACATTTGACTTAAATACGTCAAACGAAGAACGTACAATTAGTTATGTCTTTTAAGTCATGCGGGTGGAAAATTTGTATTAGACTTGGTAAAGGGGGATTGGCATCGCTACTACGTGTATATTGCTACAACAGTGAGTTTAAAATTGCTCTTCGACTTAATTTCTTGACCACTGTTTTCTCTGTGTTGTTTTAATGCCTTCAAGAAAAGAAAAATATCACAAGTTTACTCGGGTGGGATTCTAACCCACGACTTTCTGCTTACTACTAGCCGCAGATGTCTTACCACTCGACCACCAAGCTTGACACGGTCGAATCTCATATAGCATCAGTACCACAACCAATAACTCTGAATGTTTTTCTTTCATTTTCGAAACAGCTGAAGAGGAGACAGAACAGACCAAGGACCCGTACGGATTGACCCTACACTTCATCACGGACCCAGGCCGATCCCACCCACTCCGCAAGATACTTCGCCCGCTCATTGAGTCCATCGTGCCCAAGCACAAACTCTTCAACTTCGTGGAGCGCAGCGAGTCGGCCGCCCGCGACCAGCGGGAGACCGCCGGTGGGCCGGACCAGGACAAACCCGCCAGCGTGCCGACACTCGGCGTGGTGCTGCTCCTGCAAGAAGAGTTCGGCATGGAGAGGATCCTGGAAGCTCAGAAGTACCTGGGAACCGAGCCCTGGGAGTTGCACCACCGGGGGAAGGTGGGCAGCAACAACGTGCCCTACCCCACCAACAACCAAGACTTTTACGCTCATCCGAGCTGGCCGGATGCGGCGCTGTGGGCCGTGCGTCAGGTCCACTTCGGCAAGGACCGGCTCCGGTTTCAGCTCTTCGTCTCGAACGAGATGTGGGCGGACAGCATCAGCTTCTACAGCCTGCTGCTGTCCCGCTCCACGCACGTGGAGAAGGCGGACTTCTGCTACTTTCTGGTCTTCTGCAGCCAGACTTTGAACCTAGAGGTGCAGCTGGCCCTCAAGAAGCTTCCCCCGGGCTTCAAGCCGCAGTTTCTGGACTCCACCATCTTGCAGTTCAAAGTTGGGGACATGGGTCAGCTCGTCCCCCTCCTGCCGCGGGTGTGCATACCCATCAGTGATAAACGCTGGCAGACGGCCGATCCAGACGGCAACAAAGTCTTGCTCTTCAGAGACGGTGATTCCTGTGGCACGACTGTCACGCCGACCACACCCGACCCGCCGGACACGCCTGGCAACGGTAGGCTTGCTACGCTAACGGCGCCCTCTTGTGACACTGAGAGACAAAGCCACAACATTCAAGATCATGGGGGACATTTTGAAGATTGGATGCAAGAATCTAATTTAGTTTCAGCAGTATGACATTTGGCCGTTCATTAATGAGATCCCTTATTTCAGGCAAAAACCTTGAGATTCGGGTATAACCGAGCCTACCATAAAGACGAATCAGTAATGTGCCATGTGTGTAATTGTTCTTTATGCAGCGTCCGGCTATTTCTAGGCCCTACAAATATTTATTTTTACAACCGGTGGTTTCATTTCAATTTCGGAATGGATACCAAAGTTAATGCCACTGGTTGAACGGATTACCTGTAAAAAATATTTTGATATAAAATATTTTTTTCATAATAATGACTACGATCTGGAAATGGGCGGACACTGCACAATTTGAAATATAAAGTGATATGATATGATTTCAAGTTTATTACTGTTTGTACTATTTCACAAACTTGTACGCGGACGTGGATTTTTTTAAAATAATTAATAACAAAACGAGCAAACGTTTATAAAATTGATTAAATTAACGGACATACTTTTTCAGGGGCGGGTCTAGCTTTCAGGAAGGGGGGGGGGGTGATCTTAAGGGGGTGTAAGTTTAAGGCGTGCCGCGCATGCCCTGCTAGGGGGTCCATGGCTATTTTGAAATCTGTGATGACTTCTCCTGCATTCTAAGGCAATTCAAAAATAAATTTAGGAACTAACAGCGTTCCATTTAATATTTTGGCCCCATTTTACTAGTTTCATAACAATTTTGTCAGCGGCTGAGAGGGGGGGGGGGGCAACCACCAACCCCTTTAGATCCGCACCTGGAGTCCGTTATCATCGATATGTCAGAGGGGTTCCCCACATGAGTATTATCCTTTCATAAAGTTTAGTTACCGAAAATTCCACGAGTGATCAACATTGAGTGAAAACATAATTCTGAGGCGTTTCTTTCTGTTTGTTTTCTAATTTTATTTATCTGAGCGCATCAGTCGTTTTGTGAAGTAATTTTTACCCATTGAGCTAAATAGGCCTATAGCTGTCTTTACCGTTCGATATTTTTACATAATTAAGCCGATGTACAGAATATTATTAATGTTGATTAAATCAAACTGTGGCATTTGTTTTGTACATAGAGCAACATTAAATTAATAATAGAAATCTGCGGAATTCCAATGTGTTGTTTACTGTCATAATAATTATATACCTTATGTAAAGCTGCGTCTGTGCTATTTTTGAGTTACATCCCGAAAAGGGGTGGTCGTTTATAAAAGTTTTTTTTAGTAATTAACATACATGTCTTTCACTCTTAATTTGGAATTATTTGCGACCTGATGAATATGCCTGATCCAGGCCGATCCATGTGTTAGAGGCGCAACTCAAAATAAAAGCCCATATTGACAGGGAAAATCGTTCATTTCCTTCAAAATGAAAAATACGGATTGACGATTTGTTGGGAGAGAAAAAAAGTCGACTTCTTTTGAAGAGCACGGGGAGATCAACTTTAAGAGTTGCTTTGTGTATTATTATTTTGGCGCTATTTGAATGCTTAGGCCTATGCCCTACATCACTACTGAAAAAGGGACATTTTGAGTGCCAAACGTGCTTTCTTTTAGCCACATCCCTTCAGATCCTCTTTTGGTGGATTTAGCTTCCCCGTCCGAGTCATTTACTGAAGATAAGAACCTCGGGCTACCTTACAATTATTGCAAAAACATTCTCAGCGCCAGCTGTCATTATCAAATGATTTAGGGAGCGCGGGCGGCCGTAGCACGTAGGAAGAAAAAAAATGTTTTAATTAATGAAGCACTTAATGCATAACGTGATGCCTTTTAAGGCTATGCGGGGGGGGGGGGGGGGGGGGGGGGGGGGGAGGGAGCACGCTCCAAGGTACGTGTCCGTAAAATGCCAGAGCGCCCTCATGTGTCAGTTACCTCTCACCTGAACGTCTTGTAACATTGGACCAACGGTTTTGTTTCAGGGCACCAGTCTAATCAATTCTATAGCAAAACAAACTGGAGAATCTTGTAAAGTCATGCATTTTCTTGTTGTTATCCTCCACTAATTTTGAGTGATTGCACGAGAATGTCTCGCAAACGGGACCCACTGGAATTGTTCAACGCAAAAGACGGCCAAAATACGCAGCTGGTTCTCGATAAATGTCTGGTGAAGGCTTGCAACGAGGGCGACATTGACACCGTCATTGATTTGCTGCAGAAGGTAAACATCACATTCAATTTCAACACGCCATCACTGCATGAAGAATTGTACCGAGAGACGAGCCCACGCCCCTCTTCCCCCCCCCCCTCATTTTGACTCCCTCTGAAACAAATTTGGAAGTTATAACCTTATTTTAGTCGTTTTACTGTGGTGGATTTTCTACTGTTTGAGCTACAGATTTATTACTTCTAATTCTAGAAGTACAGATTTATGACTGAGTGAGTTATGAAATGAGGTTTTTTGGTTTTTTTGGGTTTTTTTTGGCAATGTTGTTTGACAAATCCGTGAACTGTCCCCCATTTGTTTTTTGCTGGGCAGGTCTAGGCCTAGGGGAGTGGTTAGGGGGATCGTGTAGTAATGGGCCCAGTTCCCGCCCTAGAGAGAAAAATAGGCCTATCCACTCGTGCCCATTCGACATTTAAAAAAAAATAAAAAATTTCATTCCAAAAAATAAGAATTATACAACTTACTTTAATTTTTTTTAATTTACTCTTTTAGTCTTAGTCTTACGTTTAATTGCAGAGTATTACATTATCGTTTTTTTGATTGTTGGCTCTGGTGGATTTTTTTTAAGTCCAAAATTGTACGGTCTGATGCCCATTTCGTGAATATGAAGTCACAGTGACAATGTTGATGCCAAACCAGACTAAATATTTGTCACGGTAAAAAAATGTAAGCCGCAAAAAGACAGTAACTATGCATGTTCAGTGTGGTATCATATTAATATCGTTTACCAGAAGATGGCCGGCTCTGGCCAAATATCCACTGCCAAAGAGTTATCCGAAAATGAAACATTGAAATTCTTTTTACAGGGAGCATCAGTAGAGGCTGAAGCGTTCACTGAGCATGAGGCTCTGTCTGGTGAGAACTACACCACGCCACTCATGGGGGCAGCTCAAGCCAGCAAGCATCAGCATAAGATAGCTGGCATACTGCTGGAAAACGGAGGTGAGACAAATAAACCCATGGATGTGTTTTCGAAACAGATCTTGGTTCTTGGTTGGTTCTTCTTCTAAATACTCCGTGTGGGAGTTTTAACAGGAGGCCAGAAACACCAGGGCAAACCCCTTCTCTTAGCAATAAGTGTCACTGGGTTCTTTTACGTGTATTGCATTACACAACACACAGGACCTACGGCTCTACGTCCCATCCGAAGGATGGAGCAATAATGGTTAAGTGCCTTGCTTAAGGGCACAAGTGTCCACCCGGCTGGCCCAACGCCGCTGTTGCCTCTAAAATACCAGAGCCCGGTGCTCTTAACCACTAGGCCATGACACTCCTCACCAGTTCATAAGAGGTGTTTGACGTAGGGTTTGCCTTCCTGGTATGCCGAGATCTCCATTTGTTGAATTTCCTTTCTTGCTTAAATCCTCTGCATTAATCCTCTGCATTTAATCCTCTGGTTAAAATGAGTTACCAGACTTTTCTATGTCATTTTTCTTGCAGCTGACGTGAACATTGGCGATCGTTACAAAGTGACTCCGCTCCATGTTGCCTGCGTGAACGGCTACAGGGATTGCGTCAGGCTGTTTATTGACTCTGGAGCTAACGTCAACGCTGGCACCTTGGACTACAACAGACCAGGGGTCTACCGAAGTAAGGACAAATATGGATTTCAAGAAAAAAATGCTAAATGCTGCCTTGATCATAATTTCCATTCCTGGACATATATGTGTTTGAGAAAGATAACAAATTCAATGTGTTGTCTACAAGAAATTGTCAATTTTATGAAGAAAATTAGTAAAGTGTTTCAATTAATGTGCTTACTGCTGAAAGGTCCTAAGGGAATTCAAGTAATTCTGTCACACATTCTTTTCAAATCAATTGACTGACTGAATTCTAACTCAATGTAACATAACTTTGAAACTGTTCTGTAAAAATAATCTGTTTGGCTCTTTACAGTCCATTGATATTGGCCATTGAGTGTAAATTTATTACAAATCTTGAATGGGGGATCAAGGTTGCAATCAAATAATCATCACAAGTCAATCTTATGACAGTCACAAGCCAATCATAAGTCAATCACAAGCCAATAACAAGTAAATCACAAGTCAATCACAATGCAATCACAAGGAAATCACAAGGAAATGGCAAGTCAGTCACAATGCAATCACAAGGAAATGGCAAGTCAGTCACAAGATAATCACAAGTAAATCACAAGTCAATCAAAAGTCAATCAAAAGTCAATCACATACCAATCACAAGCCAATTGCAAGTCAATCACAGGTCAATCACAAGTCAATCACGAGTCAATCACAAGCCAATCACAAGCCAATCACAAGTCAATCACAAGTCAATCACAAGTTACTCAGTCTCAGTGACGAGCTACTCGTATCAAATCAACCATGATTCCTTTGTCATTGTTAATGCCCTGTTTACTCGTGACCTGACTAGTGACTTGGCTTGTGACGTACTTATGATTGACTTGTGATTGGTTTGTGATTAATACAACCCTTCCATTGTTCAATTCACAGAGCCCTACCGAGGGCAAAGCACTCCCCTCCACCTAGCAGCGAGGGACAGTCAAGTGGCATGCGTCGAGGAGCTCCTCTCCCACGGACAGGCCGACTACAACAAACGAGACGCGTACGGCTGCACTTGCCTGAACTGGGCCGCCCAGAGCGCTAGTGAGGAATGTGTCATGACGATACTCCGACTGACTGAAGGATCACGGATCTTCTCAACCTCAGTAGCTGGCACGGGTACGTTGACCCTAACTCTGTCTCATCCAATATATTTCACAAGCTTGATAAATTTGTCAAGATTGAGTAAGGTACAGCCGACCAACTGTATCTTTTACATGTTGAGTTTAGACCAAAAAAGTCAGTGTATTAGTCGTACAAAATTACAAAATCCAAAATTACGTCAAACTATTTGGGAAATGATGGTTCACATATCACCTCTCTCCCCGGTCCCCTGAAATCATGTTCAGTCATAAACTATAGGCTCCTTGCACAAGTACCCCCTCTATGGTTAGAAAGGGAGAGTTGGGGGAGACCACTGGAAGAGACATTTGAACCCATCGCCGACAACACCCGGCACTCGCGCAAGGACACTATGACTTTGTGCGCAAGTCGTGCACGCTGTACGCGCGCAGACCAGCATGCTCGTGGGTGAGTCCAGTCCATGGGGTTCTTGAAAGTTGTGTAAAAAAAGCCCTCTCATGTTGGAACATGGAGCCCATAATTTAAAGCTGTTTTGGGTATGAGTCTTCCTCAATTAGCCAAAATCTACCAGTGGTACAAAATTGTACTTGTGATAAGATAAAGCAATGAAGACTGGTTTTTATGTCTTTTTTAGTCCAGAATCTGTCAAAAATACTGCAAAACCTGGCATTAATGTAGAATTTGAAATTCAAATAAATGGTGTCTCCAGGTGACTACCCGCTTCACGACTGTGTGCGCCGGAGCTTCGTTAAGTGCGTGCGAGAGCTGCTGCTACGCGGCGCTGATGTCAACCAGCAGAACGCCATCGGACTCAGCGCCCTACACTTTGCGGCCGTCCCTTCGCCGCACTCCTCACCAGAGATGATGGAGACCTTAGTGACGTATGCCAACGAGTTGGATGTGGATCAACCTGTGGGAGCGTGTGGCTCTGCACGATTACGGCATGGAATGTCAGGTGAGGGCAGCAGAGCAGTTTGGGAATGTCGACTCGATGATCAAATCCAATTCATAGTTTACTGATCGGTTGTAACAGAATATACAGTCGACTCCCGTTATAACGAGCTCGGTCATAACGATAACCCGGATGTAACGAGCACATTCTCCCAGTCCCAATCAATTTGTGTACATTACTATGGGGAAATATTTGGTTATTACGTGCACAGACATAACGAGACTTCGGCTATTACGACGATTTTGGCTGACCCAATGCGAGGAAAAGCATTGTTCTCAACCCATTTACAACGACATCTTTTCAAAACTACGGGCATTGCAGCTTGTCAACGACAGAACTTTTGTCCTGAAACGGGTATCATGCTCCCGTCTTCCAATTCAAGCAACACACTTAAGCTTCACCCATCAATGTACCTTTGTAAAGACTTCAACCCAACGTTATTTCATCTCGCCGATCTTTATAAATAAATTCAATGGGACTGTGATAATCGGCGCAGTGGACCGCTGGTCTAGTCGCTAATCCCCCGCTGCGGTTTCCCTTAGCGTGACCAGGTTTGAAGTTTGCTTACGACTGCGGTACCATGTTTCTATATTATTACTAACTAACAATAGGGGGCGCTCAGGAGTTAAGTGTTAACATTGTAAGGAATAGCCTTTAGTACTACCGCCCGAACATCGGGTGCGTAATTGCTCCCTATTGTTGGCTTGTGGCTATAAAAAAAAATACAAAGTAAAGAACACAGCATCCCAAAACAAACGGCTCTTTTCAGAGCCACCACAACTTCCAAAAAGAGATAATTCAGTCTGTCTTAGAAAAATAAAGTTTAAAGTGGTTCACACCCCCAAAAAAGAATCCGAAGAATAAAAAAATAAAAATCTTAAACAAATTAAGAACCCCTCCGGCCCCGCCGAAAAAACAATCCCAATAAAAACAGGTTTCCAAGATCTTCAAATGCCCCACCACATACACATTGTACAAATTTTAATCCAAAATTATTACTTTTGTTTATTTATTATTATTATCTTAAAAGAATCCCTCCCGACAAACAATAATCACCAATTGCTGCGAAATTACACATGGAGACACTTAAACCCGGAAGTAATATTAGCGCCCTCTATTGCCCGATTCCAGCAAATGCAAAACGAAAGCAAAATGTCACTTGGCACGAATGTGCGCTATAGTTAACCGAAATAATTACAATTTCAAAGAATCCCTTCAGAAACAATAATACCCAACTGTTCCAAAAAGTCAACAACCAAAAGGCATCTAAGGATCAGGAGTCATTAAAACCCGGAAGTAATGCATGTATTGGCGCCCTCTCTTGCCCGATTCCAGCAAATGCAAAATGAAAGCAAAATGTCACTCGGCACGATTTGTGCGAGTGACCTACTTGCCTGATTCTTCTCAGCGATGATGCCTTTTCCTCCGGATTCAGGTCCTCAAATATTGAACAATGTTCCCTTAAAGGTATTTTATTTATTTCATTTATTCATCACCATCAGTTAAATAGTTAATATACATTATTAACAGACGTACATACCAACAAATGACCATCTTTTCATGTCTTCGGACGTGCGTTACACGATTAAAACACGCACGCACATGTACCGTACCTTGTGCACAACGAATGGGGAAAACTGCGCTCCGGTTTTAGCGAGGTTCCGGCTATAACGACAGTATTGTGAAAGTCCATCGGACCTCGTTATAACGAGAGCCGACTGTATTTGTAACATTACATTTGAGCAGTTCATTCATGTGAAAGTAAATATTACTAGTCATGTAATTATAAGTTATCAGTTTTATTTTGAGTTATTATTTTCAAGTTATTGTACTTGTTTATTTATAACTGAGTTCAAATGAATTCTTATTCATAATTTTCATTTTTTTTATAGACTCTGCTCTCTAAATTTTGAATGTTCCTCTTTCTTTTGGCAGAACAGGAACATGTGATTAAAACAGCCTTGACTTGAGATTGACTTGTGACAAACTGGTTATAATGTGTCCCCCCCCCCAGTTTTGAGATGCCATAGGTTTTTGTAGTGCCAATTTTGTGATACTGTTGGATTATGTTCCCGTTATGTTCCCAGGTATCAAACCCCTTCAGCTTGTAGCCTTCGATCCAGACGTGGACATCCACTTGCACGCGTTCCACACCGCCGAGTTCCGCCTCAGCCGCACCTTCAAACTCATGACCTCTGACCCCAGGCGACCTATGCGCCGACCCCAGTGCGCGGTCCACCTGATCCGGTACGGGGCCGATATCAATATCACCTACCAGGGACAGACGCTACTCCAACAGGAAGTGTATAATCAAGACGGCGCGGACGACTCGTTACTGACAGCCGTCGTACGAGCAGCTTGCATCCTCCCGGTCCCGGACAGACCACCCGGCATGTGTCCCGAAGACGTCAGCGAGAGAGCCAAGGAGAAACTCAAGTGGCTCAAGGAAGTCTTCAGTTCGCCGAGGAGTTTACAGCAGTGCTGCCGGGTCGCTGTCCGGAGGCTACTCGGTGTCAAGAGAATCAACAGGGTAGCAGAGCTGCCTTTACCATTGTCACTTCAAGATTACTTGTTGCTTAAAACCTGACCCCAAATGCCTGGTCGTTGCTTCTAGGACCCTTCCTGAAGCCTTTGAAATCCTCAACTGTCCAGAAAAACCAGTGTCGCATCCATTGTACTTTGAAATTTCAACTTTCAAGCCCCATGTAATGTACAAGTGGCCGAGCTGTAATACCTCCCACAATCCTACAAAATCCATCAAAATCCGGTGGAGTTTGATGGTTCTGGGATGATGAGGGTCAATGACTACCCCCTTCGGTGGAGACACTGTAATGTTTCATATTTTAAGCATCCTACAAAATTCTTCAAAATTGATGGAATTTGAAGGATCTGGGAGGATAAGGATCAGTGCCTTTCACCTGTTGGAGGTAAGGATTAAGCCCAGCAAGAAAGAACACAATGGTGCTTGGGCGTGCCATGTACGAACATTTCGGTTGTGATGCACCAACCACAACAGTGTCCTTCAGTGAGCCGCCATTTTCAAGAAAATAACTGCAAAACCAACGCCGTCTGTTGCACCACAAGACACTTCCGACTTCAAATGATGAATATTCAATGAAAGTGGACAGGGACAGTACTTCTGTAAACGCAAATAGTTTATTTTATGCAGTTGTACAAACGAAACTCCAAATGTACAAATTGTATTAATCACCACCACTTTGGTTTTATTTTTAAAAAAAAATCAAGCAGTTGTTTCTGCTTCTTGAGGTGCACAAGCTTGGTTTACAGTATAACTAAATTATCAGTACTAGAAATACTGCTTGATATGTATTGGTACAAATGTAGCAATTGTTTCTTTAAGTGAAATTAACTCCTGGTATAATATACGTATACATGGATTGTCTCAGAACACTGAAATAAAACAGTGAAAACTAGTACGTGTAAGTTGAAACTTTTTTTATTTGAAATCCAAATTTGTAGTTCCTGCTCGTGACTTTTGGTTGTGATTGAAATGACGTGACAGAACACGTGTTGATAAATCCCACCGCCAAAGCTGGGATGATTGTTGCTGGATAAATGTGAACAGATCAAGAACTTTGAGGAAGCAGAGAATATGAGATATTTTTCACACTTTTCCCATGCTGGGAGTCCGGTTGGCTTAGTGGATCTTTCCTTGCCTTCCTTACTTCCAGTCTATGTCCTGGGTTCATTCCTACCAAGGTTGACATGTGGATTGGGTTTTCAGTCCCTTGCACTGAATGCCGGGGTTTCCTTAAAATACTAACCTCTATAAAATCTGAACATTTTTTTTCATAGTCTTCAGGCCATTGATTTCTTCAGGTCTCAGGGAACTACATGTACAACATCATATTGACACTTGCAAGTAATCCTTCGAACCCAGGCCGACATGTCAGTTGGATTTTCGGTCTCCACCTGATGCCATGATTTTCCAAAGAATATTTATCTGAGATTTTCCTTTTCCACCACCTCTTGGTCCCAGCTTTTCTTAATTGTCTTCTTTCCACAGGCTGCCTTCTTCAGTCCTAGCTACAGTTCCACAGGTGCTTTTGAAGCATCGTTAGTTTCATTTCTAGAATTATCTTCAAGTAGCAGTAATAATTGGTCCGGCAGACATCAACTTTTGGCAAGAATCTCGGGGCGATCGGTCCAGAACTCCTCTCCAATGATGTCAGTGTGAAGCAACTCCACTTTCCGTCGTTTCCGGACAACCTCCCGTTCGATCTCCTCGTCCGTTTCTTTGCTCTTGCATCGATTCACTGTCACCTCATCCACCTGAAAAAAGAAATAAATTGGAAATTTGCCATCTGTTTGACGTCTAATCTTTATAGCTGAAATAAATGATGATGGCCCCAACACTTGATCCTCCACACTCTCAACAACATTTTTAATATTTCTTAATGGAGCATGTTCCATTTTACACTGAACAGATGTTATTTCAAGGAATGCCGAGCTAATCATCTCATAAGTAAAAGGAGAGCCTCATTATCGCTAAGGCAGTCGACCATCTGGTTCCCTGACCTGACAAATACTCAACGTCAGGATCGTTGACTTATGGAACCCGATTATCAACCGAAGGGTTCTCGGACTTTATTTCCTTTTGAAAAAAAAATTGTCCAAAGCCATGGATTACAAAGAAGAAAATATAATCTACTTCAATAAAAAGGAGGATTTGATTAAAAACATCAAATTAATTGAATCTTTTTAAAGAAAAAAAAAAGAACAAAATTTTGGTACAGCACATATTCGAGCCCGATACCTTAGGCATGGTAGTCGAGCATTTACCCAAAAATACCAAAACGATCTGGTTGGATTGGTCATTATAAATGTGTTTTTGCAATGCCTTAACAATAGCAGATGAAAATCGCATTTGATTAACCCCTTAAGGACGGGTTATAATGGGGACATTCCTCCACACATAGAGCAAGTGGCCCGCATGACTGCACAGCCTTTGTGTGGTAGCGGGACTGCACAAAAGCAGCAGCTGTGGAACTACCCACTAGCCCTGTGCCACGGCATACCACAGCTGGCAACTGCATTCCAATGAGGATTAGCGGCCGCGGCCATGACCGCTTCCCGTGCGCATGGGGTTAATATCCTGTTGATTAGCCAAAAAATTACACTAAAAGAGCAAGGTAAATAGGGTATTTCTGCACAAACAAGTGACGCGGGTGCAAAATCCACAATAAGCCGATGGACAACGTTTTGCATTGACCACGGTTCGAATCCCACCCAGCAAATTCAAAATATGCTGTTCAGGATTCTGTACCCTTTGTGAACATTTCTTTTTGATCTTGTGTCTACTGCTTCATCATACCAGGGATCAGATATTGTCAATTTTAAAAAAATGTCTGAAAAGTGGATAAAAGGTCCGAAAGATGCATTGCTTTTTGTACTGATAATGTCTTTCTCTCAGATTCAAAAGGTCTGATTTCACACAAAAGTCTGAAAAAAAAACACTTTGCGTGAATTGAAAAAAAAATCCAGGCCAACCCAACACTTACTGTTTTCCAAATCAGCACGCTTCCTTTGCGGAACCATTCAGGTTCATTGTTGTAGTTAATCCCAAAGTCCGAAAACAAAAGCTCATTCTTGTCTGATGAAAAAGTCCCCTGTCATTTGAAGGAAAAAAATGAAGAAAAAATGAAGAAAAAAATAAAAATTAAAAAGGGTCAGAGGAATGCAAAATACACTGCAACAAACAGGAAAAAGATGCTGAAATATCTTTGCAGTTTCAGAAGAAATGCGTGAAATATCTGAATTTGTGATATAACTAGGTGATATACAACTTCCAAAATATACAAAACCAAAGCTGTCAGAAGTCTGATAAAAATTAAAAATTCTGACCACATCGATGCAGTGATATTAGACTTACTCTAAGTCTCTCCTCAGCTTGCGTATTGGTCAGTCCGCCCTCTTGAACCAGTTTCCAGAAACAGGTGTTGTACAAGTTGTTGATATGGCCTGGAATAGAGTGACATAGGTGAGTTTGAGACTAGCAGCAAGTCTAAAAACATGAAATTGCACCCCAAAGTGTATATTCACTTAAACTTGTTTCAAGTCTGAACATTCTAGTGATCATTAGGCCATAGTATGAGCGAATGGGAGTGCAGTAATGACATCTGGGTAAAAGAAAAACAACAGACTGTTACAAAAACTAATTTCTGAGCTGCAGCTTTGAGGGAACTTGTACCAACCTTAAAATCACACATACTAAAATTTGTATCCTTGTGGAGACATTTCTTTGTTCTCGTGTACTAAAGTTTTCGAGTTGGAAAGTACAGTTTCAAAATGCACTTATTTTAACCAGAATTAATTTCCTTGGCTGAAATTCGGACTTAATACCCCTTTTCTAAAACTCTACCATTTGCGACGGATCAACATACCTTGGAAATTCCTAGTTTTTGAGTAAAATCCATATATCTATTTCGTTAAAACCTTGTGGAGACGTATTCATCTATAGAAATTGCCTGGTGGAGACGTATGCAATCTTTTGTTCCCTATTGTGTGCATGTCTCCAGAGGGCACAGTGTATCAGATCACATCTGTTTTTACTCCTAATTTTATGGCATTCTTACTGCGCCCACATTCGCTCATCAATGAGGCCTTTAAGCTATGATGAAACAAAATTACAGTCATGAGAAATCACATGTGCAGCACTCACAATCTGCCTGTCTCCAACTGAGGTAGTCTCGGAGGTTCTGGTTGCTAGGATACAACACAATGCGGCCATCGAAGGCTGGGGGATACAGCAGTTGTTGGTCTGGGAAATATTTACTCCAGTGGAACACAAAACAAGATGAGAAGAGGGAGACCATGTTGGTCATCAGCTTGCTGTATGGAAATCAAAAAGTAAAAAGTTACTTATGGAAAAACTTTCTGCCATATATTTGTTCCATTGAAATTAGGGGGTCTGCTCATAAGTCCGACGCCTCATAGGTCCGACGCCTCATAAGTCCGACAAAATCGCATCCCCTAACTAAATAAAGGCCCATAAGTCCGACGCCTCATAGGTCCAACGCCTCATAAGTCCGACGCCTCATAGCTCCGACGCCTCGTAGGTCCGACAAACTAAACGCCTCGTTTTTCTGACGTCGGACTTATGAAGCGTCGGACTTATGAGGCGTCGGACCTATGAGGCGGAATAAATAAATGTTATGCCTCATAAGTCAGACGTCTCATAAGTCCGAAATTTATGAGGCGTTGGACCTATGAGGCGTCGGACTTATGATACGGCCCTGAAATTAGATCCCAGAATATTGTTTTCTCGCAATATACAGAATTCACAGAGTTAAAACTTCATCAGGTTGGGTGTTAACCCCCAAATAGCACTTTTGTTGCTTCAAAAAAAAACAAATGCACAAATGAGAAATGATCTACTCAACCTTCAAATGACAAATAAGAAAAAGCACCAGAAAAAGAGTTAAAATGAGACTGGGATGAAGTCTTGACCTTGCTCTCCTGCTGAACTGTGTTGTTTCTCTGCGGAACACAAAGCTATACTCATCACTCTGCCCATAGGCAAGGACGACGTCCTTGAATTCCTCCATCACACATGCTGCACAGAAGTTCATCAGCCCCAGTCCCCTGGTGTCGTTCGGCTTGGTGAAATGATGGGCATCAGCAAATCTAGAAAACAAAAAGGATTCAAAGTTTAGCCACATTTTAAAAAATGGGGATGACATCAGTAATGTTGGAAAACTGAAAAGATCACGTTTTGCGGTTCCTGCTGCTACATCAGAATCGAACCGGCCAACCGACCCTGGCAAGTTTAGCGGTCCAGTAGTAAGACCTCTGCTCTAGTAAGCAGGAGATCGTGGGTTCGAGTCTCACCCAAGTAAGCTTGTGAATTTTTCTCGCAAGCCCTCGGACATCACTGAGTAAACAGTGTTTATAAAATACATTGGCGAAGGGCCCATATAAAATAAAGTTTATTTTTGATGCAATATTTTTTCTCCATTTCATTCTCAACTCTGCCCCTCCATTGAAAAACCTATCTGCTCCGTACACAAGTACCCTCTCGACAATGATAAGGAAGTTAGTTGGAGACCATTTTGGAGTGACATTCGAACGCTCTGTTGATGACGTCTGACGCTCACGCAAAGATGTTATGGCTTTGTGCACAGTCAGAATAAAATCAGTCGTGCGTACTTCGCGGTGTGTCCCGTCATGCATGGCCATCCACGGTGCTCTCGAATGTGGTAAATAAGCGCCCTCTCTTGTTCTCGCATGGATCTACTACTACGAGACAACTGAGTTTAATCATTAATCATGTTAATTGATCACTAGTGTGACAGTTGATCAATGTGACCATGTGACCATCTATCATTACCATCCATCATTTCTATGGTCCAAACAAAATTACTTGTGAAAACCTCTGCCATCGAGACGCATCACAATCCAACAATTCGGTAGCAGCTTGTCAACCTCCTCGAACTGACGGACGTACTCGAACTTGCTTTTGGCCATGACTCAACGTTCTCTTTCTGGGGCCCGATGAAACACACTTCACTGTTCCCTTTTCCACACAGTAGCCGAAGACCGAGTGGATCACAACCGCAGTGCTAAACCAACCACCACCATGCTTTACACACATGAAGTCTGCTTTCTGGACTTAACCATGCACTGCGGTGACGGCTAATTTTCATGGACCAAAGGGCCAGACTTAAATGCAGTTTGTTTACAACGGAGAGTTCATTCACCTTTCACCTACTTATTACAACGACCTTTGCATGCGCTTGCGCTTGCGCATTTGGGTAACTTTGCCAATTGAACTTTGACACGAGCAAAGAGGGCGAGTCGTCGGTCTGATGCGAAACTTTCACAGAAATGCTACGTTTTCAGAACAAATTGCCACTCTTTTGACTCTCATAATATGGCTGAAGGAAAGAGCAGAGACCCCTTACCATCTTGAAAGCCACTTGGAATTGTCAACCGACTCAGAAAAAGGCAAGAAATAATCTCTCGTTTCGACACGTGAATGCGTAGACAGATGAACGAACAGTTGTCACTCGGATTTTCGTAATTCCGTACAAGTTGGTGTGTGCATGGTGATGACTCATCAAACAACTCTTGTTGCACGTATGAATTACAGTGTTTTTTTTATCCCATAGGTTTTTTTCTCAAGTAACAATTAAGCCTGAAAAAAAGTAAAGTGCCATTTAGATTAATTCTTGTCACCTGACATGCCATATGATTGCTGTGACGTGCAAAACCTATCATGCCTATGAGAACTGAACGCTGGAATTAAAACTTAAAAATGGAAATTAAAAGTAGGAAAACATTCACCATGTCTGAACAGTAATTTAACAAACTTAACATCAAGTTCACCAACTGAATTCTCAATATTTGCCTGTTCGTGTTGTCACATTGAAGATACCTGACCACTGTTGACAGCAAAAAAAAATTCAGATCAATCGGCAGAAGACATCCAACTGAGTTGAGTTGAACTTCAAAAGCATTCCAACAAGTGTGCATTTTATGAACTACATGTATGAACAAGACGACATAGTTTTATTTTGGTCTGGATTCAAGCAAGAGAAGTGGCCAGAATGAGTGGAAGTCGTGTGGATTTGAAAGTCGTGCTACTCGGCAAAGAGTATGGAGGGAAGACAAGTTTGGTGGAGAGATATCTCCACGACAGATTCCACGGAGATGTTCCTTACCAAAATGTAAGTAAATTATCCCTAAACCACCTCCAATAGACCTTACTCATGAGGAGGCCATTTTTGATCGTGTTCTCTGAATCTATTTTATGAATTTTAAGCTGTTGAATGGGATGGTGACAGACTATTGTATGAGTGGAGTGCGTTCCAAGCCTCACCTTCAATTTATTTTTGAATGTGGCTTAAAACATTAGGGTATGATTAATCGCAAATTTTACATTATTGACAGAGCAGAGTGGTATTAATTTGTAAATGATCCTTTGTTTCATTGCTTTTGTTTCTGCTCGCTTGTTCCAGAAATGAAGAAGTCACCTCGCTTTCAATTGAATATGGCTGAGTCATGAATAAAGTCTATTCTCCACACTTGCCCAAGGCCAATGCCTGGTTATTGCAAACTAGTTGTAGCCTCTACAGCACTGTAGCTTTCACCGGCCTAGACTGCAAAAGTGTGCTAATTTTCATTGATGTCCAAAAGACAGCCTAGATTATAGATATTTTGTTGGTATACTTTGTTTTGCACTAATTCTGGACATTTGTGTGAAATTGGCCTAAAACAGAAGGACTAATCCAATTCAAAACCAATAGTGTATGAGCTGTAAAGCACGTCTACTTTATTTGAATGTATCGTCTGGCATGCTTTCACACTGCACACTGACTTCAGGTAGCCCTGTCTGAAGACAGATTTGCATGTTGGATTGAAATTAATAAGTATATTCATATACATGTAGTAAGTTGCATGATGTCACAATTGATTGAGAAAGTGCCATCTTAAATCATTACCATGCTTAGAAATAGTGTGTTCATTGTTTGGAGTCTGGGCATTATTTTAACTGAATTTAATTTTTCTCACATACATTGTATGCTTGTTGTTTGTGCAAACAAAAGAAAACTAAAACAATTTCAGCTCTGAAAACACCATGTGTTAATTTCAAGAAAATAAAGATTGACAAAACTATAGGACATAAGCAGGGAGTTAGTACAACTTGTATCACCAAAAAAAAAAATTTCTGTAATACAGAACTACATGTATAATGCTCACAGCACTTGGAACGAATCCTGTGAGAAGTTTTCTCATAGGCTTTCTTGTCACTGACGTCATTTATTATCTTTTGATTTGTAGAGAACTTCCAAAGGAAGGCCATTTTATACACCAGTAAGTGTGCCAATTAGCATGAAAGGGAGACATGATTTTGTTTTCTTCTTGCCTTGCACAGCTTATAGGGTTTCATGTACAGTAAACGGATTAGTGGAGTTTATCCAAAGCACCACTGTTTCTTGAGATCATCAATTGTGAAATGTTGGTTGGATTCATTGAAAATGTGTACCAGCAAACAAGAAGACTGAACATTTCTTTCACAAAGTAGGATTTTGCAAAATTTGAAATCCCCCCAAGGCAATTTTGGCAGGGGATTCTGAAATTCTTCAAAATCCTACACTGCAGCTACATGCAAGCTAACCAAGGGTACTATTGAGCACATGCATCACGGCCCATGTATATTTTGTTCTTGAAATGCTGCAAGTTCTCAGTCCATCAAAATACTACACAACCAATGTTTGATTTTGAAGGATTTGGGATAGTTAGAAAGAAATTGAATAAAGTTGGACTTGCAGAAAGATTCTGCATATCAATCCTCCTGTACAAAGTCATTTTTTTAAACAAGTTTTGTTGATGAACTGTCGTTATTTGGCCTTCTTTTTTGTTTGTTTCATTTCTGTTTTGAAGTTGTTTGTTTTCACATGTTATTGCATTTTATTGAGCTTGTGGGGGTGGTTTTTTGGACATGTAGTTCCTCTTTCTCATTACAAATATAAAGTATCAGCCAAGAATGCCAAACTGACCCCAAGTACAATGTACTTCTACTCTAATTCTATAATATGGGTTGTAATCTTTCTGTTTGAATTCAACTCCAGATAAGTGCACTGTCAAAGCTTAGTCATATTAGGAATAGTGCTCACGTCTTCAAAACATGCATATGAGGAAGTCTGTGTTCCTGCCCCCTTCCTCCCCCCCCCCCTCACCATAACAAGCAAATTTGACAAAAGCATGGCTAACTTTTCAATGTTTTCAACTGACAGATAGAATGGTTGTAAAGCAGGGATTGCATTATATGTAGTCTTGTTTCAAGACTGGAATTTTATTTTTCCCATCATCATGCAGAAGGTCCCAGTCCTTTGCAAAACAAGTCTTGGGAACTTTGGCACTTGGACCCGTACCCACACACACGCACGCAATATAATGGGTGCAATATCTTGGGAGCGGGAGCCCAAAATCCCAGCACAGAATTTGATTCATCTTGTTGATAATGCCTTGTACTGCCACAGCGGCTTGACCACACTTACTTGACACCAGCTGCAGTAAGGGTAGCAAAATCAAAATCCCGCCTTTGAACCAAGACTAAAATTGCATGTTTAAGGAAGATTTTTTTCCGCTTGATATTTTTCCTAATGAAATTTTTCCCAAGGATTTTTTCCCAAATTTTTTTTCTAATGAGACTGTTCCTGAGGAGATTTTTTCCAGTGAGGTTTTCCTGCGGAGATTTTGCCCAATGAGATATTTCTCTATGAGATTTTTTCCCTATGAGATTTTGTTCCCAATAAGATTGTTCCTAAGGAGCTTTTTTCCAATGAGATTTTCCCCAAAGAGCTGTGTCACTTACTGCACATACAAGTCACTTTCTCATCCATTTGCCTCCGTTTAATACCAGTGGAAGTTGCTAAGGAGATTTTCCCCATTGAGATTTTCTCAATGTTTCCTAAAGAGATTTTGCCCAATGGGATTTTTTTCCTTAGGAGATTTTCCCCAATGAGATTTTTCCTAATGAGATTGTTCCTAAGGAGCTTTTTCCCAATGAGATTTTCCCCAAAGAGCTGTGTCACTTACTGCACATACAAGTCTCTTTCTCATCCATTTGCCTCCTTTTAATACCAGCGGAAGTTGCTATAATTCAAAATCGCCATATTCCATCTTCTTTTGAATGTAAAATAAATTACATAGGGAAACTTACAATTCCTGAAAATCGTCCGGAATGAAATTTAAATTTGCCAACTCTGGAACATCATACTTATTGTTCTACCAACTGAACAATGTTCATTGTGCTATGAATATTCAAATTTCAGATTTTGGCTTCCATCACTTTCTTTGCTCAACCGTAAATTTGGTTTTTGAAGATATATTTATGATTTTATTATGGCACTCAATATATTTGGCTCATTGAAAAGAGTGGGAAAAGTTTGCATTCTAAACGTCCCAGCAAATTTTTGTTTAGTCTGCATTCTTTCTTGGATATCTTGTTTAATTTCGATTCCAAACGAATAAAAAACCCTTTCCTCCTCTGTCCTCAAGCCCGCTGTTTTGTTCTAAGAAGACTGTTCATTATTCTCAAGTTTAATATTTCGGTATGTGAACGTGTTGCTAACAAGTATCTTTTTATCACAGACAATTGGTGCAGCATTCGGTGCTAAGAAAATTGAGGTGGACAGCAGAACAGTTACCATGGGAATATGGGTAAGTTCTGGTCCTATAAAGGAGGGTGGAGATGAAAGGAGATGGAAAGGGGAGGAGCTTAGGAGGGGAGGAGGAACTTCCCCAGCCCCTCCCCCTTGATACTCATTGGCTGATAAATAAATTATACAATGTACTGTCAATATGTCATGTTTGTAATTCAAGTTTTCTTTAACGGTTTATGTCATTATTAGAATTTATTTTAGTGAGTTATTCTCTTTATGTTACAAAATCTCTTTACTTGCTTTCCAACTTGTTCAATTTTTTTTCTCTTAAAGAAACTTCAATTTTTATAATTTATTTAAACGGAAAAAGCTTTTTGTTTCTATCTATTTTGAGCATTTTCAACCCTCTGAAAATATGTTTTTAATTTGGGTTGCTTTTGCACAAAAAGGTACACCTGAATTATCATCGGGTCACAAATAATTTGAAATTTATGAAGTAAATATTCCATAACTAAACTGTAGCTGATTTTGTTTTGTTTCATGTTGCATTCAGAGCGAATTACTTTTGTATTGCTAGAAAAATAGCAATTAAAGGGTTTTTTTTTCGGTGTAAAACTCAAAAACAGCAAAGGAGAGTAACTTTCAGCAAGCCATTCAACTGACAAAAAAACAGCCCCAGATACACAGACGCATATTTATGTCCGTTTCAGATTGTATTGTACCTATCAAAATCCTTTGTATTTTTTTTATCACATTTCCTTTTATTGGGAAAAATTTACATTTCCCAAGCCAAGGTTGATTTTTCTAATTGGATAAAATACTGTGTGAACATCCTGATGGTTGAATATTTCCTTTTTGACAGGAAGTTGGATCTCCTTAACTTCACGTAGTTCACAAATGCATTGTGATGCATGGATTACACAGACCAGGGCTGTCAGACCAGCAGGACAAAAATAACAGAACCTTACGTAATAAATCTCAAAGTAAAAGCAAACAAAGCAAAAGCGTGTGCAAGAGCTGTCCTTATGATCTAAAAATGTATGAAATCTAATGTGTTAATTTATTACATGTGATAATTTGTGTTTATTGTACAGTGTGCTGTGAATTCACGAAGTCAGCATTTGATTCATGTAGGGGGCAGTATTGAATATAATCTGCGAAATCATTTGGGATTTCTGAATTTCTTTCCCGTATTTTCTGTATTATCAGGACACAGCCGGATCAGAACGCTACGAAGCCATGAGTAGAATTTACTACCGAGGAGCAAAGGCTGCCATAGTATGTTATGGTAAGTGACTGCATCCCTCCCCCCTCCCCCTCCAAAAATAAATGTGAGATGGAGTCGCGTTTAATCTTTCCTTTAAAACTTATAGGTTCGTGACATCCATCAGCAGTAATGGAATCAGATCACTTTGATTAATGGGATAATGGATATTGGTACCAGTTGGAAGAAAATAACTAGTTCCACATGTTCCCTTTCCCTGCTCATATGTATAGCTGTTCCATTGAAATGCAGAGAAAATCAAACCTAGTGAAAGCAAGTTGTGTTGAATATTGGATCAGCATTTTCATACTTACAAAGTATAAAGAAACAGTGAATCAAATAAGTCAATAGAAAACTTGATAAGGGGCAAGAACATCTTGGAACAAAAGTTTGTATTTCTCTTCGTTGCAGTTTACAAATTTTAAAACACTAAAAACTTACAAAAACAACCCAGTACCGATAAATGCATTTTCTTTAATAATTTGAAAAGAGAACAATAACAAAATTCTCATGTTCGTGTACATGTAGTCATTAAAACATTTGAAAGGACTGTGTTGACTGAAGATGGTAGCATAATGACATATACATGTACATGTATCTATGCTTTTGTACAAGATTAAACATGATAATAAGTGCTTGTTTGCACAACGGTGATGGCATCTATACGGTTTCTTCGCAAAAAAAATGTCAACTACTGGACAAGGAGGAAATAGCAAATGCAAAATGAAACAATTTGTTCAAAATACACTTGAAACTACTTGTGAAACTACCATGATAATCTAAAAAAAAAAAGCCTTTTTATGAATAAGTAACATGAAGGAATGATTCATAATTTGTTTGAAAAATATGAAACTACCATGATAATCTAAAAAAAAACCTTTTTATGAATAAGTAACATGAAGGAATGATTCATAATTTGTTTGAAAAATATGAAACTATAACATGATATTAATCAAATGGTTTGATAACCTTGTTCGTTGTCGCTGTTCCCAAGTCAATACTATTGTATGCATGTGCATGCAATTATGGGAACAAAGGTCAGTAAAGTGTAGTTGTGCAAAGTTCCAAAAGCCTTGTCTGGGTTTATTTAAAGAATTACCCACCTCCTTAAGCAATTTTGCTGAACCCTTTTTCACCTGCAAATACCAGAATCATATTTCTAGTTTCCGAATGTTTTGGTAAATTCAAGATTGTGCAGCCTGATCTGAATTCCGTGGTTCTGCTTACCGTAATAAGCAAAAAAATCCTTGCTTTCTGTAACAGACGATTCGGTGCTTACGGTTAGCATATTTCACAGGTTAGCGAGGGATTTTGGCTTATATGCCTACATTGCGTAACTACCTGTGCTTTTGGTTAGCACATAATTTATTGCTGGCGCTATTAACACAGAATTTATTGCTGGCGCTATTAACACAGAATTGTGACGATAAGCTTAGAATTCTGTGGTTAGCAAATCCATGAACGTGATGAAATTGGGCCCCGGCCCCCCATAACCCTTGAGGTTCAAATATTTGTTTGAATACAAAGAATGTGTCGTTCTTTTTACTGCACGGTATAGCTACCTAGCCGAATGCTTCTGGCAAACAGAATTGTGGAGGGAGATAGGATAAACAAAAATTGAAAAACTTGTTCTGGGAATTTTTTGGCTCTTTTTCAACACAGTGAAATGACTGCTTGAATTCTTTAGTGCTTTGTTACATTTTCAAAACAAATTAACATGCTTCACAATACCAAATTTCACAATACCAAATTAATTTTGTTACGCAGATGAACGTTTTGAATAATCAGTAGTTTTCTAACCCCTAAAGCTCTCTCTCTATATATTTTTTTTCAAAGATAATGTTCCTTGACTTGCCGTTGTGGACAACCGTCTACTGACTGTTTCCTATTTGTTCCATTTTATTAAAATGCTAAATCTTTTTAGTTTTTCCTGTTCACCACCAGTCAGTTTGTTTGAACAAAAATAACAGATTGAAATGGCATTAAAGGTTTTGACCTTAGGAAAACAACATCAGCGCTTTTCCTACCAAATTGCTAGTATATTAATCTGGTCCTATATTGGCAATCCTTCGTCGTTGATGTTAAAGTAATTTGTATGCTTTACTTTTTCAGATTTAACAGATGGAACAAGTTTTGACAGGGCAAAGTTCTGGGTAGAAGAGCTGAAAAGGAACGAAGAGGTAATACTTTTTTTTTTTTTAAAGTTTATACATTGTTTGTAAACTTGACAGTGGTTTGTAAAGTAAAGTTTTCCAACCCTGCACGACATCCAATCAGAGTTGTTCCTGAGAACTGACAAGGCTGCTGATTGGTTGATTGCTGTCAGGTGCCAGAGTCACTGACAGTAGATGCCCATGGATTGGTCAAAATCTGAGGGTCAAGAAAAATAGTTAATTAGTGTGTAACTACTTTATTACTTTTTTATTGCACGTTTTTTTATATTTAACTGATCCTACATCAGTGTTAAAATGGACACTGGTATTTAGCTAACCAGTAAATTTGGGCTTGGTTGTGACTATTAATTTTCAATTTTATTTTTTTGTTTCCAGTTCTGCAAGATTTATTTATCCGGTAACAAGTTTGACCTCGTGGAGAATGACAAGAGCAGGCGACAGGTGGATTATCACAGTGTAACGGATTATGCAGAAGGTATTTCAATACTTGGCTAACCCCTTCCCATGTGGTGGGCTTTTTGACCTCGTTTGCTAGAGCAATAGTTAAAAATGTTACATCGTGATGTGTTCATACAGGGTGTGATCAGGTACCACAATATGAGTATTAACTAGGAACAGTTTTTAATGTTTTATGTAATTGTTTATCAATGGAGCATACTTAGATTGTGATATATCACTTAGTCTGACATCGGATGAATATGGACATTATGTGCTTGGCTTTATTTGTGATTTTTTTTGTTTTTGTTTTTGTTTGGGGGGGTCTCTTGCATCAAAAACAGTTTTGGAGACTCGTTTTGACTTATTTTGTGTTGGGTCAAATTCTTGTTGGTGTTTGGGATCATCCAGAGAATGAAGAAATCTTTTTACTTTGTGTGCCAAAACAAGTATTGCCAACAAAGTATTTTTTGTCTACAACATTATGCACTAATTTAGGAATTCATTTTTTTTTTGCACAGAACTCAAGGCGGAAGTTTTTGAAACATCAAGTAAAACTGGTCACCAAATCAGTAAGTATTGTCTCATAGCAATATTTTATTAAAGGGAAAATACAACATTTGCAAACATCAAAAAATAAAACTACCAAATCATTTTGAAATACCTTGCTGGACTGTTAGTGAATGACAGTGTAAAGCATCCTGTAAAATCATGGCACCTGGTGTACTGTCATTTTCAAGAAAGCTGGTATTTTTGTATCAATTTCCAACGCTGATCGGCCGATCAGCGTTGGAAAAAACTGTTTTTTTCAAATACTGGCCCCAATTGACCATCGCACTTGTTTGCAATTGATTACAAACATATGAACGGGTACGAGCCAGCTAGACTGGTTCCCTGACCTTACAATTCCCCAATGTATGTAAATTGCTCTGTTTCTTCTTATATGGAGTCGGGGAACCAGACTACAGGAAAATGATTGTTTTTCTTGGTTTTTATTGCATTTTCGAACCCAAAACCTCAAAAAAGTCAGTGTAACTATATTTGCTATATATTTCCAACCCCCCAATTCCATCCATTTCTGAAAATTACAGCAAAAGCAAATGATGTATTTTCCCTTTAACACTTTTTTTCGGCCTCCTCGATCCTCCAAAATCAGCCAGGTGGTTTTGGAGGATTTTGGGAGATTGAGACCGTGTGCCAAGAAAAGTGTCGGATGATTTTGGAGGATGCATTGTGTCAATATCTTAAGCTGTTCCCTGCACTTTTATGTCCAGCCTTCATTATGCTAGACATTATCTGCAGTTCTGCACTGCTTCTAGATATCATCCGCGCCACTATAATAGGAAGATTTTGAAGAATAAGCCTCTGTACTGATGATGTCACACTTTGTTTACGTGTGTTTCCTATGACGCTCAGTGGACCGTGGGCCCCCACTGGCTTACATGTAAACAACGTCTGGCATCATCAGTACAGAGGTTTATTGAGGCAGTAGTCATCCCTCCACTGAAGAAATTCACAAAATAATGAATGATTTTGGAGGATTGAGGCTGTTTTTACTGAAGTGTTTTTTTGTTTTTTTTTCTAATTGCAGAAGAACTATTCTTTAAAATAGCTCAAGATTACGTCAAAGAACCTAGGAATAATGATGCAGGTAAGTACTCAGAATTGTTTGGTTACAACAAATCAAATACTTCTCAGCAAAAAAGACAGCAATTCACATTTTTGGCATAATTCAAAAATTCATATTACTATGAGAATTGACAATTTCACAAAATGTTTAGACATGCCTTGCATTTCACCTTTAATATTAAAAATTAAACATCACATGTCTTTCTGATCTAAAATAAAGTTGACCTAAATTTGAAACGTCTTTAATCAAGTTCATGCAAAGTATATTTAGTTTTGGATCTGAGCTTGACCCCAACACCTCATTGTACTTGTATGAAAGTCCAATTTTTTCTTGATATTGAGAAAAGTATTTGCTTCGCTTATCCCACCGCCCCTATGTGAGGGCTCTGGTTAAGGGTTAATCCATTTTGAGCAATAAGAGTTTTGAACGTTTCAACCCCGTGTCGTCGGCTAAAAACATCACGTACATTTTCTTTTGTTTTTGTTTTCCTTTTTACCTTTCTTGTAGCGCCTGAAGTCCCGAAGACTCTTAACTTGACTGACAAGCCGAAAAAAGCGGATTGTGCCTGCTAGCCAGTCACCTGACGCAGTCACCTGACTCGTGTCACATGACCGTTCAGTAAGAATCACAGTTACACCAATGTCTTATGAAATTGCACCACAGAGGTGAAAACGAGTAATCGAAAAATTGTGGGAATGGAGGACTTTGATCAATTTAGATTCACACTTTTAGACTTTTTGTAACAGTGCCAATGACTAATGAGTGATCTGCCCAAACTACAAATGTGATGCCATCAAGCTAAGTGAGTCGTTTGTCGACCCTGGTAAAAAAAAATTCTTACAGTTTGGAAAAGAGCACAATCTCAGCATTACTGCTGTGAAAACCACATGCTGATACTATTTTTTGTTCAAAAATTATGGAAGTCGGCACACCAAGAGACGTGATGAAGTGAAATCTCCAAGTGAAAGTTCCTGATAAACGACTCATTTAGCTTGATCGCATCACAAATGTTGATTGTTTTGTGATGATAGGAAGAGTGCTCATTGTGCTTGTCCCATCATAAGCAAAAACAAAAACAAACAAAAAGACCTTTCCAACTCGATGTTTACATTCAGGGGCTTCAGGAAATGTTATCCAATTCTCCTATTGGACACTAGGGACTTATCTTGGTTTAGTTCATGTTTTTGTTTGGTTGTTTGTTTGCTTTTTCCCCCAAGAAATAGCTGTCAACCGGAAAATTACGCAAGCTCGCTGTAGGTGATTGCAAAATTAAGGAAAAGGACAATCAGAAGGATTCAGAAACTAAGATGAAATGAAAAGGTTTGAGCCCAGCCTAGCTATTCAATTACTGAATTGCAAATTTTTAACATGACATCTGGAAAATCCAAAATGTTCATCTTCTACGGTGTAATGATTTTGTTTCTCATTCCATTAAAACTTAACTAGGGCTGGTTTTCCCCGAGAAAGAATTTATAGACAAAAAGTTGAAACAACAGAATGTAAGAAACTTTTTTTCAACCGAGAGGCTAAACTGCAAGAAGTTTGTATTTTTTTGGTGTGATTTATCACATGCTGTGAATCCATTAAAATAGGTTTGCCCATACTTTTCCTTTACTTGAACTCATTCTGAATTAGTTGCCCTGAAAATTCCAGTTTCCAAATCGCAAGCAGGATCCGCCGTACAGCTTAACGCTGAGTACTCACAGATTGTGTTGAACGATTGACGAGCAAAAGGATCTCAGTATATTTTTTGTTTTCTTCTTTAATTTTCATGGTGTGCCATGAAGCCCGATTACTAATGCTCTTCAGTCACCACAGACACATGTGGGGATGGAGGGGGGGGGGGGTTGGAAGGGGGAGGGGGGAGTGCAAGGGGTGGGGGGATTTCATTGTTACTTCACTGCATAGCGAGTCCATTTGCTGAAGCTAAATGGCCAGGCACCACTTGGACACCATATGCATCACCTAATTAAGATTACCAGACTTTGCTAAAGACAAATTTGCTGTCCTTAAATTGTATCAGTTTTTAATTAATTTGTGCATTTCCTGGTTTTTTGTAGTTATGTTTCATTTATCGTTTGGAAATTTTGTTGTGAGAATATTGCATAATCTTTGAACCGCGAGACACATACAGAAAATGGAAATTAGTGGCTTTGAAAATACCAAAATTGAGTACCATTTTGCGATTTTTCTTTTTATTTGGATAAAGTGTTTCAGGTTTTATTGGCTTTTCTTCCAAGTAAATCATAGAACCTAAAAATAAATTGTAAATATTTTGCATTTTGCTTTTGTTAGAAATTTCTTTTCCACAGAATCATTATTTTTGACATAACCTTTCTATGGCATAATAGCATTTCACTTTACATTTTTTTCTTAAAGAATAATTGTCATAATTTTGACAACATTGGCCGAGGACTGAAAACCCAGTCCACATATTGGCCCAGGCGGGATTCGAGCCTAGGTCACGGCGGTGGAAGGCGAGGAAAGTACCGCTACGCCAACCTGACTCCCTATAAATTGTGTTTGTAATGAAACTGGTTTTGAATTTACCAACAATTATAATTTTGTGATGATTCAGATACAGGAAGCCTGTAGAATTTTTTTTAATTGTTGTTATTAATTTTTTTATTAGATTCTTTTTTATCTCCCCCCCCCCCCCCCAAATGAAACAGGGGACATTTTGTCATTGTCATACAGCTGTATTCAACTCAGTATTGCTGCCGAGTTTCAATGCTTAAATATTTGAATATATTTGCAAAATGATAATGCCCATTGGTGAAACAGATAATAACATTTATGATTTTGAACTTACAGAACTTGCAAAATTTGAATTTAAGTGATTAAACATAATTTAACTGTTAAGTTTTGGTATTATTTTGTTTGAATCTTGAAATCTTACCTAGTGATATTGTATACAAATGTTGTTCACACTTTATTAGGCCAAAAAAAAAGTCTCTGGTTTCTGGTATGGAGCTTGCCCAAAAAGTGGTGCGGCGACGTGGCTTTTTTTTTTTTACCTGATTTTTTTTGCCTCAAATGTCGGCTGATGACTGCAAATGGTGCCCGACTAAACTTAGTGCAAATATATGGGAGTCCAGAGAGGCCACATAAAGCTTATTCATAACCCCATCTAAAAACATGTTAAAATTGTGCAGCAGCAGGATTCCAGTCAAACCAGTGAGTTTGGCGGTTTTGAGACATGATCTTTCATTGAAAAAAAAACTTGTTCATTTTGTCGACGCGCATGGCTACGGCGACGTGCACGCATACCAGAAACCGGAGACTTTTTTTTTTGGCCTTAGCAAAGTACTTGTGAAGACACTTGTGAAAATAACAAAAACAAAAATGATAAAGGCAGTTTCTTAAGTAATTAAATATGTGATAAATCATATTAAAATCCAAATTAATTAAAAGTCTATGTTTATTTTGGTTTATCAACTTTAGCTATTAATTTTTTTTTTCAATTGAATGCATGATATAAACAATTATTGTACACTTAATTATTTTCCATTTTTGTTTTGTACAAAAACTATAATTCTGACCAGGTCACTAATAGATTTCTGTTATTGAAAGAAATTTATGGGAAATTTCTTTTCCCAAAAAAATCTGTTGCCATTTTCTTTCCAACCTTTGAGCTAAAAAAAATGGTACAAATGTCAATAGTCTTCATAAAAGTACAACAGGATAATCGCACATATAAAGTTATTTGTAAAATATTTTGAAAAAAAAACAACTTAAATCTTGTTTATAATGAAATACTCGCCTTAATGCTTCCACAAACATAGTGATAATTTCTTGATCAGTTAAGTGATCTTGTTAATGTTCTATCGACCATTATTCAGAAACTGCTGTAATTCCAATTGTTTCATAGCTCCCAAATTAGTCACATCTTGTAAATAAATATAACTGTACATTTTAATTATGTCGCCAATAAATAAATCCAATTGGAATATCAAACTCTTGGAATATCAGAGTCTTTGTTTTATTAATAAGGTGCATTGGAATAATTGAAAAAAAAAAGAATTTATACCATTTCTTGCCCCCCCCCCCTCCCCTAAACAAAATAGTGAGGTCAATGACATTTTTGAATTACCAAAATAAGTGTGAGTAGTCCCTGAAAATTGAATGGCTATTTAAATTTTTCAATTTGAAAAAAAAAAAAATATATGTTCAGTTTCATGTAGTTGAGCCTTCTCACTTTCTGACCTTTTTTTTTTAAACACTGAAGAGCTCAACATTTTTTTGATAGTTATTATACACTTGCAAATATCTCAGAATGTGTTCTGATATAATTTAGTGATGTGTTAAATGTTTACGCACGCCTATAAGCGATATTAAGACCGTAGGTTTGTTCTTATTATCGCTTGGTTTACAAAGTTGCTTTTGGACCACGCCCACAAAATGGAACGCACGAGGGCGCTTTTCATACAACATGGCGGCTCCCAGCAGAGATGGTAATGGATTTTTAACTCTAGTTAAAAACAATATCATTTTATGAATTTCTGTATTGTTTTTGTTGTTGTTAGTATATGAATTCAAGGGGAACGAAATTCCATACCTAGACATCACTTGACACCCTGTGCACAAACCCATATAAGTGTGTATTTGCCTGCAATCGGCGACCCCATTCGTCCCTCTTTCGTTTGTTTATTGTACAGTTGTACTTTTTGTAGGCTACACTTTTTAAGAAAACTTCCAAAAAAAAAAGGTCGATCGTGTAGTGTAGGGCCCGGTTCCTATTAGGGAACAAAATCCATTTTAAAATTATTTGACCTACCAAACTAGTTGGTGACATTCTCAATAAACTGGTAAGTGGTATGTCATAGATAGAGGTCAGGGTTTTCATTTTTGAGGGAAATTTGGGGGTAAAATGACGATGATAGCGCGGCGACAACACGCGACCCGAAAACAAAGATGGCGATCACTGCGCAATGTAGGATGGAACGCCGTATTATCGCGGTACTTATCACGTTTCTCGTTCGGAATAGAGATTGCCCACTAACCTTCCAGAATTGTCCTGTCTTATGTGTAGTATAACTCTTCCTTTTTAAATTAATATAAAAAAATCTGACGGGTGGTGTGGTTTATTCCGTGTACGATGCTTGTGAAAATAGACATGCGCGGCGTGTGCGAACGGAGGTGGACTCCCTATTATCGCGGTATGCGGGAAGTGGTTTTTATAATGATCCCAACTTTTTTGTTCATAGTTTATGTTTGACCAAAACACCCCTGAATAAAGTCTGATATTTTCCCTGTAACGTTCAAGTTGATTAAAGACAAAATGTCTGCAGGATGATTTCTTAAGACCCTGCCCTTTCCCCGAAAGGAGAACACAAATCCCTGAGGCAAGTCTACTGATCGGCGATTGAGGGCGCCATTCACTTTACACGGTGTGCCGTTTTATTTTCGCTAACGCGCGGTGCTTATTTTGATCCCGTAAAAGTTGTTAAGATTTCGCGCTGCAAATATCGTCGTTCGACTTCATTTTACATTTGCAGCTGAAGAATGGGAACCAGACAATGGAACTTTCATGGACAGAGCGCAGTTAAAGATTTATGTTAAAATACAAACGGTACCTTTTAGCAGACACGGTGAGGGAAAATTTTGCAAGTTTTGGAAAACGTTAATATTTATTAAAATCGTTTAAAAGTCCCGAAAGACACAACATTTTTTAATCGTCCTTTTTATACAACTCGGTAGAAAATCCTTGATGACTGGTGAACTGGATAAAAATTGCCACTTGAAGGAGTTTTGACACTGTAAAAAGAGAAATTTCCCATGCCGCGATAATAGGGATGCCGCGATAATAGGGAGTCCGACTATACCGTGAGCACGCACGGCGCGCAGAATCATAAGGCACAAACCACGCAGGAAAATCGTGATTTCTACCCCAAGAATCTGTTCAAAATTGCAAAACGGGTGTCGTTAGAATTGAAAAAGTCTGCTTTTGATTGTAAAGGTGATTTTTGAGCAATAAATAACAATTTGATCAAAACAAACAGGGGCCCTACACTTCACAATCGTCCTAAAAAGTCCTAAACTCCTGTATGTTTTGTACACGATCGCCATCATGATTGTCCTCTATTGTTTAACGTCCTCTATTGAATGCAGAAACAAACTCTAGACTATGAGACTTGTCTGAAATATAGGAAAACTATTTTTTTTGGGGGGGGGGGGGGGCCTTAGGACATTGTTATCGCTTTATGAAGGTTGATAGGTGATTGCCGGGAACAATAAATGACCTCCTAGTCAAGATCCCTAGAGGATGTTTCAGGAGGAACCTAACCAAGTACCAAGTACCAATAAGTGATGGCCATATGGAATTCTTTCCAAAATAAAATAAAATTTTGACAGAGACCAAAAAAATCCCCAAAACACAACATCAAAATGAAGATGGCTATGGCAATAGTGCCACACAATGCACATTGAATGCACAAAAGTGCACAGATGTGCATGGCATCAACTGGGGGAAAAAAAGCAGTTCAATATAAAACGAATGCCATTCCTATCTGTTATATTTCAGACATGGATAGCGAGCAGCGACGGAGGCGTAAGCACGGGATGCTGAAGATGTACTATGGCCTGGATGATGAGGCAGGCAAAGAGGCCACCACAGACCCCATCGACATCGACGGGGCGCACTTTGACCCTGACGTCTACTTGGCCAGACTCATGAGGGAGAAGAGATTGACTGAGTTAGTGGACCGGGAGGTGGACATGGTCAAACGTATGTTCTGATGTCTCTATTAACCCTCTTTTCAATCCTGTTCCCCAACCATGCTCTTTACACACGCTAGTCACCACCAGTCAGATCATCTTCTTTGTAGGCACTGTGACAGTCAAATTCCATCAACAGACAAAAGCCGGCGACTGGTAGGCACAGCTGGCTTGTCAATCTCCTACAGTCAAAGCATAGCGGAACATTTCTAATAATGTAGGAATAATTTGGAACTTAATCTCACTGTAACACGTTTGACTTTATTCTTTGCAGAGATCCGTTCCCTCGACAGTGACATGCAGACTCTGGTCTATGAGAACTACAACAAGTTTATCAGTGCAACTGACACAATAAGGAAGGTGTGTAAAACTTGTAATCATTATTATGGCCCAGGCGGGACTCGAGCCGAGGTCGAGAAAGAACCGCTAAGCAAATTGACTACCCCTGGTAGGCAGCCTATAGCTGGAAGCAAAGAGAGAGCTGAAGGAGACCACTTGGAGAGACATCCAACGCATTGCTGATGACGCCTATGAGAATATGCAACCGGTTTAGCACACTCGGAATAAAATTAGCTGTGCGAAACTTATCTCCATACACGCGTGAACCAGTACACACATACTTGCTCCGTAGTTGTGGGGACTACACACGAGTTGTCCCATGGTACTATGGGGACTGCAGACGCTGTGGGGACAGCAGAAAGTCCCCATAACTCGGTCCTAATTTGCCTAACAATAAAAAAAACTTACTCATAACGCGGTGACGGCCCGGTGACGTTAACCTTCATGATTTTATTTGTTGCCAGAGAACAGGGATGCTAGTCCTCTGGAAAGTGACAAAATATCTTTTTTTTAAATTTGAGATAACATATTGGTAGCGTATGCTTGTCTTGTATATCTCCAAAGTTTCTGCCAAAAAAGTGAGATCCCATGTAAAGTCAAATTCATTTATATTTGTTATATTTATTTTCTCAGATGAAAACCGACTTCAAGAAGATGGAAGAAGAGATGGATCGCCTAGCAACCAACATGGACGCCATCACCGACTTCAGCGCTAAGATCAGCGGTACACTGCAGGACAGACGAGAGCAGATAACCAAACTAAGCAGCGTTCATATGCTACTCAAGAAGGTGTGTTACAAGACCCCGTCTCTGCTAAGCAGAAGATATCGCTTAGCAAGGTTTATGAACTGGACAAAAATCAGCTGAGAAGCAGTCGGGAACATTACATAATACTTTGGCTTGTAATTTGGATGACCAAGAAGTATTCCCATGAATGATAATAATGTGTTTTTATAAAGTGCATATATCCACCAGTACTGGTGCTCAAGACGCTACATCATTATTACCCTGCTCATTGGGCCAATGAAACATTCCAAAGACAATCTCAGCACCCCGGGGAGTATACAGCTCGATGCTGCCAATTCAGCGCAAAGCAGCTAAATAAACCATAATAACCATCTCTGCCCTCGCAGCTACCCATTTACTCCTGGGTGGGGAGGGCAATGAGTGACAAAGTGCCTTGCCCAAGGACACACGCACCACAACCCCAGGCTGGACTCGAACCCACAATTTGCAAAATTACCCACAGACTTTGAGCTCCAGAGCATGAGTTCATGGCACTCCACACATGTAGTAACTCCTTAAAATTAATCCAAGGGTTGAGTACAGTGTGGCTCAGGCTAAACTCATGACAAAATGCGTATTAGTTGCCAACAGTAGTCTTATCAACCAGTACGGACATTGCAATGTTGGTATTAGGTTTATGAACCTGTTGTATTTTGATTTGTTTTGCTTTTGTCCACAGCTTCAGTTCTTGTTTGAACTTCCGGCCAGACTGAAGAAGTGCATTGAGATGAAAGCGTACAGCCAAGCAGTCAGGTATCCAATTATTGTCAACATCTATAAATACCTGCATTCCGCGCATACAATTTTGTTGTTTAAGTAATTTTTCTGTTAGATGTAGTCTCTACCAGACCTCCTAAGATATTTTAAAATTTGCCATATTTTTTTTTTTTTGAAGATGGCAGGCAAGTATTTAAATTCAAAATGGCTGCCAACTTCGGTTCAAAGTGACCGCAAGCTTTGACCGCAAATATTCATGTTAACCATGTTCTATGTATTTTATTACAGCAAAATAAATGCAAGAAAAAGTTACATTTTGGAGGTGAAAAAAAAAAAAAAAAAAAAAAAAAAGGATGCGGCTTCAAAACAGGATGTGGGCGGGGACGATCAACTGGGTTTTTTTTTTACTCAATTTATATTAAGTTAACTACATTCAACCTGTTGAAACTGATTTTGGGCAACCAGGGGAAGGGGGGGTTCTAAAAAGTAACAAAATCCCGTTCTCCTGACGACGGGCAGAGCATACTGTTCAAAACGTTGAGTCCCTCCGGTTCTTTTTAGAACCACTTATACTCACAAAAGAGATTTATTCACATGGTGCAACCACAAACTTATCTTGTCTTAGTATCTTTCCACCATGCAAACCTTCAAGTCTTCATATGTACACTTTTATTTCCAGGTACTATGTGAAAGCCCGGGCTGTACTGCTCCAGTACCAACACATGACATCCTTCCACGGCATCCAGCAAGACTGCAACGAGATAGTCAATGACCTACGCATGATACTGAGGGAACAGTTCAGCAACAGAGAGGTATGCAACAACACAATCATTGAACTTAAAAAGATGAGGTTGAGCTGATGAAATTGGGCTGAGTTTTTACGTGGAGACTTGAACTTTTCGTCTACACATATCTTGTCATTTTCCTGAATGGTAAATGGTTTTTGATGTGGATAATTGCTCTGACTGCTGTCCTTGCAAAACTTGGCATTCCTTTGGAGCAACAAAAGCAGGCGTTTGTAAAAGGTTCCAATACAATGCCCTTTTTGCCTTTTTTTTGGACAAAGGGCCTTGTGAAATCTCATTGCACAAAAAATATTGCCACCAATTTTCTTTTTGGCCTGTTTTGTTTGTATTTGTTGATGCAGTCTAGCGCAAAGCAGCTGGCAGAGAGTGTGGATCTGCTACTTCAGCTTAAAGAGCCGCCAGACGAACTCTGCGACGAATTTCTTTCGCAGTAAGCCAACAATTTTGTGATTGAATCTGAGAACCTTCGCATGTGCTGATGAAATTCAAATTTCTGTTTTGTTTTCACAATTTGTATCCTTTTTGTATGAACAAGTTGTAGTAATATTCAGGGATGGCAGTTTTCCGGCTTTAGGTGGAATTCCAACGTTTGTGTGTTTTTTGGGGGGAAATCCGGCATTTCATCTCTTCGCAGGCCAGAAAAATAAATCTTTGTGTTGGAACATAAAATGAAATATAAAATAAAATGAAAAACCAGCCACGTGTCGTTTTTCAACCAATAGAAAAATCTGTTATGCGTTGTTTGAAAGTTGCTCGTGAGCTGAAACTTCAGCAAGTTGGTTGTTATGCATCCATTCTTAGGATTTTGAGCAATGTTTCTGCTTCAAAAAATAGGAAGGATAAAGTTTGCATCCTGAAGCCACTTTTTTTAATTATATTTTATCTCAATGAAGGTCACTCATTGCAAAAAAAAGTTGAAAAGACGTGAATCTGGGACTGAGAAACATTTCCAATTTTGTTAGAAAATACTTTGAAAATCCACTTGACCCTCCATAGGCTTCGTACACAACCAAAGAAGTGGCGTCTGGATACTACAGTCTTGCCACACGAAAAGCAATGAACAAAAAGCAAATGATCCTTTGTACCTTTAGCAGGGGAATGTTATTGGAAACCTGTTTTACATATTTTCTCAACTCATTGGGGGCGAAGCATTTCAGAACAACTACCTTTTTTTCCACCCTGTGCAGCGCTAAGGAGAAGCTGGATGAGGACTTGGCTGAAATTGCCTCCCAAGTGGACCCCGCCCTAGTTGGTACCCAGCAGCCTGATAGCACCGCTGCCATGGAGGGTACCGATGAGACCAGACCTGCCGAGAAGCTGATGCGGAATATACCGATGGTAGGTTAAAAAAAGGCAGTAATTCTGTACATGGTAGGTCAAAAAAGGCAGTAATTCTGTACATGGTAGGTCAAAAAAGGCAGTAATTCTGTACATGGTAGGTCAAAAAAGGCAGTAATTCTGTGCATGGTAGGTCAAAAAAGGCAGTAATTCTGTGCATGGTAGGTCAAAAAAGGCAGTAATTCTGTGCATGGTAGGTCAAAAAAGGCAGTAATTCTGTGCATGGTAGGTCAAAAAAGGCAGTAATTCTGTGCATGGTAGGTCAAAAAAGGCAGTAATTCTGTACATGGTAGGTCAAAAAAGGCAGTAATTCTGTACATGGATGTAGGGGTGTGCATTTACAGGTAGTATGGCGATCAGGCACCCAAGTGAAAAAAAACAAAACGGGTATCAAGTACCTGTTAAAGAAACCTAACCCCAAACTTTAAATCTCAGAAGTTGCTGTACAGATTGTTCATAAAGGTCCTCACGATAATACTACCACATCGGTGAGTCCATACAGCAAGATACAAGTGTGTACAGCGAGCTTGATACATGTAGCCTTTACGGTGTAGACTGCATTTTCGCGAGTGTCATAAACGTGAATCCGTTTGTTTTTCCATGTAGCCTGTTTTTCATTTTGAAAATTCTCCACAAATGACATTTAAAACCTTTCTTTTTCATTGTCCGAGAAGTTACTAAGTAATATGTAAAGTTTGTTACGATTACCCGATCCTATAACCTGGAACGGTTCCTGACATCATCGGTCGGATACTCGGGTACCTGGTTCCAATGCACAGCCCTACTTGGATGTAAGTTTTGAAATCATAAAGTCTTGAAATGGTTCCTCTTTCTTTGATTTTCTCCACAGGATATCTTAGAGTTTATAGACAGCAGTTGCAACAGTTTTCTGAGTAACATCAGCCTCCTCATTGCGTCTTACAAGGAGTTGTTCGTGGACAGGCAAGCCACAGAGTAAGCACAGATCACACAGTTAACACAGCTAGTGGTGCATATCAGGGAACTCATAAATTCATTGCACCACCCACAGTTGACCTTGAATGGCGCTGTGACCATTTCTCAACTTGTTAACTTGCCCTGCATACTTTTTTGCAGATAATAATCATTATACATCGATCCGGGCTCACAATCAAATCTATCACGAAGGCCCCCTTCAATGGCGAATGCACTGTGCTAGCTATTGTTCAGATAATTTGTCATGGGGCAGTTGCTTTGTACAATAGCATACACAGTGGTTTCTCCATTGAAGGGGGCCTCATGAATGTACAGTGATCACTGACCAGGATTCGTCAATACAAATACATACATTAAGGAGCCTCATAGATACATCTCCTTATTGTTTGTAAAAGAGGGATTTATTGGATAAAAAAAATACGAATGCACAGATCGATTAAAAAATGTGGATTGCTCATATAAAAGGAGACTTTCAGAGTTTCTGGAAGAGTATTGTATCAGTTGTTTGTGAGGTTAAGCAGCCTTAATCCAGTATTTGGAAACGTGATGTGCTGGATCATTTTTTAGAAAATTTTTGGCAATTATTTAGACCTTTCTGGGGAGGGACAAGTTGGACTCTCTTCGAGATTGTGACTGGTTCGTGGAAGCCAATTAGCAGTAGTCAGGTGGCTAGTGGTCGAAATCGTGACCAACTGGTCCCCAAAGCACCATGGATTTAAGCCACTTGACTACAGTGCATCTCCTTTCTAAACTAAAACCCCTCGCATAGTAACCGATTGAATGCTTTGATTGTGGTCACAGCTCCCAGGAGCAGGAGAAGCTGGTAGAGGTTGCCCATGCCAAGCTGGCTGAGTTTGTCAACTCACGCATGCAGCAGTACTTCACACATGTAGACGAGAGGATCAAAACAGAAGTAAGTCAACTCCTGATAAATGGAAAGTTTACAACTGTTGACTTTGTGTCATGTTGGATATGACTTTTTTAACACCCGAGAGGAGCATTTGCCTCATGTACATGCCGACATGTACTTCTTTTCGGTAATTTGGCAATTCCTCTATTTTCATTGTAATTTGGCTAATGTTTAGACAAATTTAAGAATTATTGATGATAATACTGAGTCGTCATCCTTATCACGCAGAAAAGCACAGTAGACAACTCCCTCCTGGTCCGGGCGCTTGACCGCTTCTACCGACGGCTCCTCGCTACCGACCGCCTTGTCCCACAGCTCAAGATCATCGAGCGCGCCTCGGCTATCATAGCTCAGTGTGGCCATGAGAGGGCGCTGTTCTACTTTGATGGTCTCAAGCGTCACTTTTCAGGTGCGTAGCAAATTTCTACACAAGCTCCATAGAATTGGGCCCAGTCACGCATGACAGTGAAATATTTTCTATACAGAGTGGTCTAAAAAAACCAAGTTTACGTTATTTCAGAGGCAGATGCCTAAAAATTGAGGAGACATTATTTGTCTATTTGTTTGACTTTCAGAGTGCATGACGGACATACGCCAGACTCTGTGTGCGCCAAGAATAGCAGGCAAGAAGGATAAGCCGGACATGGTGGACCTACTCAACACAACAACCACATCGGTCGTAGAACAACTCAAAGTCATTCTCACTAACCTCAAGGTACTGCGGATCCCTTCCAAATTAAGCGTAGCAGTCCTTTCAACTGCTTATCTGGGGTGGCCATTCTATAAATTTAGTCCACCGTGTGACATTTTTTCCTGTCCCTGTTACCTTTGTACTTAGTAATTTGCCATCAATAATGGCTTCAAATAATTTTTTATTTGTTGAGTAGGTAGTTTGCTTTTCATTATCACTCTTGGACGATGACTGCAGTTATAAGGAGTGCATCAGAATTATAAAATCCTCGATGTCAGATGTAACAGGGACAGGAAAAAAGTGGAATTCACTACGGGATATCATACATGTTTTCTCGCCTCTATTTGTTGTCTTAGGCCTTCATAGCCAGCGACATCACGTTCTCCCAGACGCCATATTTCCGGGGTCCCTTCTGTCAAGATGACGTCAGGGAGGGGCTTCTTGTTGCTTTCTTCAGGCACATGTATTCAGCTTCGCGTGTGAGTGGTCTTGACTTGCCTTATGATGATGTGCTCAGAAGTGTTACCGAAACTAAAAAATAGAAATGATGGCATTTGTTTCTCAGATGGTATACTTTTTTCCTGTTCATCCTTGATAACATACCTGTTGTATTTGGAAGGTTTATTTCAAGTGATATATCCATTTAAAAAAAAAGTGAAAAATTTGCAGGGTTATAAATCTTTAAAGAAAAAAAAGAAAAGAAAAAACTGTTTCTAAACTTCATTTTCGATTGATTGTATTCTAAAATTGTGTTGAAAGGTAGAGTACATCATTTTCAGCTTTCCGAAAAGTAACTGACGAAATTATTGTTGAAAAGCATACTTGGTTTAAAGATGGCAATGATACTAAACTTTCTGTGAAATTATTTTTTCTGGCATGCTATTATTTTGGAAAAGAAAACAATAAAAGGTCTAAAGACGCATTTCTGGAAATTTCCGTTCGTAGTCCGCTTTTAATTTGGCGAAGCCGTGAATGAGTGCACGCAAGCGTTGACATGACGCAAATTTTGAATTGAAAATGAGATTCTAGAATGTTGTTTTTCTCGGAATATGCAGCATTCACTGAGCTGAAAATTTGTCAGCTTAGTTGTTGTTAAGCACCCTTCTTTAGATTTTTTAAGCACCCTTCTTTAGATTTTGAGCACTTTGGTTGCTTAAAATGAAAAAAATGCACAAATGACAAATGATCTACCTTTAATTATGTACCACCCATCGAAACTGACTTCAGGCAGCCAGGCGAGGGCGGCATTCTAATAGGTAACAAAACAGCGTGTATCGCACTTCAAAGTAAACCCTTCATATGTTGATGCAATTTAGGATCTGTGTGATGGTGTTGGGGAGAAAGGATCCACCACCGCACCAGCGCTCATTCTAGTCCTGTCCAGACTCTTGCTAGACTTTGAATCCACCACTATCAGCCAGCTGGTGAGTTGAGCGATCGTTTCTAAACTCTTCTCCAACTTGTAAAGGTTCCATTCCAACAGGTTCAGGGCGGGGATGTAGTCGGGTCTGCCACTAGACCCTGCAAGGCCCTGCCAAGTCCATCACAAGTCCTCCAGTCCCAATTCAAAATCAGTAAGCTGTTCAAATGAGCTTTGACATAGGCATTCCTTTGGTATTGTTCAACCACTGTTACTTGTGACTGGACTTGTGATAGACTTATGATGGACTTATGGTGAGAAAATGAATATAATTTACCATGGGACAACCCAATGGTATATCTATAGGTGTTTGTAGTGAGCAACTGCATGTGTATCAAAGTGCAACACTGATTCTCAGTTATATTTGGGTATTGGTTAGAGCAGGTTCCTAATAAGCAAAGGCTGTTAAAAAAAAAAAAAATCCAGCAAATCCGGCGCATTTCTTGACATCAAATGCACCTGAGATTCGCAATCACAATCGCTTTTTCTCCTATTATTTCCTACAATGGGCAATTCCATGAGACATGGAGAAAAAATCACAAATTTATTAAATTTATTTAAACTGCAAACATCACAGCCTCCAAATGTGGTATCAGATTATAGGGGACAACAAGGCCTTTCATTTGAGTGATGTGGCAGTGAAATGGAATATGGGTAATGTGTATTTTTGTTCAAAAACAGGGGTGGTGGTGGGGGGCTAAAATTGTGGATTTTATGTAGTCGTTTTACATGCAAAATGCAAGTGTTGTGAGTATTTGTTTGTAAGGCAGAGAGAAAGGTTCATGTGTTATGCGGAAAGAGTTTTTTGTTTGATGAAATACTGTTCCTGATAAGAGGCATTGTTGATATGAATTTGTAATTTAACAAGATGGTTCATAGGAATGACTTCACAGATACACACACAAGGTTTTTCGTCTAACCGTTAACCTTATTCGTTCCTTTTTGCAGCTAGTGCTAACGGATGAGTTGTTCCCTATTGACAATCGGCGTAGCTTAACCCAGACCTCAGTACTGTGTGCTGAAGCCCAGAGCGCTGCACAGACCCTACTGAATCATTACGTCAAAGTCCAGGGGCTCCAGATATCTCAGGTTTGTCAAAATTTCAATTGTTTTTACGAACTTGTTAAGTTTTAGTTTGGTTTGGTTCGGCGTGCAGCACTACCTAGTAGCGATAAATACGTTATTTTTGATGGGTTTTACACAGATGCTCAGGAAGAGTGTTGAAACACGTGACTGGCTGAACACCATAGAGCCACGCACGGTGCGCGCTGTCATGAAGCGTGTCGTGGAAGACATCACCACCATCGACAGCCAAGTGGGGGCGCTCTACGAGGAAGGGATACGCAAGGCCCACAGCAGCGATTCCAGCCGGAGAGCGCTGAGCTACAGCGTGTCCAAGCAGCAGCAGCAGCGCATGCAGAGAAGCTACGCATCAAGGTATGCGGTCAATTTCACCCACCGGAAACTGACTTTTTAGTGTTCGACCTGGATATTCAGATCAGAGGGATCTAACAAGTTGATCAGCGGCAGAAACGATTGATTTGGCTACTGCTTGGACTTTCATAAAATTTGAAGTATCGTCGGAGGTCACTAACAGTCCCCTTTTTTTTCATGATTGTTTTTTTAATTACAAAATTGAACAGAGATATTGACTGGAGCGGGGTTTGAGCCTGCGACCTCCGGAATACCATACCGGTATTCTACCAACTGAGCTATCCAGACCTATTTTGGCAGATCCCCAGATTGTCAATGTTGTTCAGCCACAAACCCGTATATACCACATAGCCAGGGATATTGCCCTAAGGCACGATGCTAGCGACATTACCAGTGCTGCAAACCTGGGAAGTAGCTAGCAGGGATCACTCAGAGAGGATACGGCTTATATTTTTTGTGTGTGTATGTATTTTTGCAGTAGCAACTTTGACACCAGCTTGATGAGCAACATCCAGAAGCTCTTCTCGGAGCGGATTGAGATCTTCAGCAGTGTGGAGTTCTCCAAGGTGTCCATTCTTACAGGCATCGTCAAGATCAGTCTCAAGGTATGCACAAGACATCGGTGTGGTAGCCGAGTCTGTCAAAAGTCTAGTCACAAGCACGTCACAAGTCCAGTCACAAGCACGTCACAAGTCCAGTCACAAGCAACATGAGATGAACAATAACTAGGAACTACCTCTGTCACGGCTTTATTTGAATTGCTTGTGATTAACTTGAATTAAACTTGTGATAGGCTTGTGAAGACTTGTGATTGACTTGTGATTGACTTGTGATTGACTTGTGATTGACTTGTGATTCACTTGTGATGGACTTGTGATAGACTTGTGATTGACTTGTGATGAACTTGTGATGAACTTGTGATAAACTTTTGATGGACTTGTGATTGACCTGAAATTGACTTGTGATGACTTGTGATGACTTGAAAAGAACTTGCGATGACTTGAAATGGACTTGTGATGACTTGTGATTGACTTGTGATGGACTTGTGAAGACTTGTGATTGACTTGTGATGGACTTGTGGTTAGCTTGAAATGGACTTGCGATGACTTGTGATTGACTTGTGATTGACTTGAAATTGACTTATGATGACTCGTGATTGACTTGAAATTGACTTGTGATGACTTGTGATTGACTTGATATGGACTCTTTGTTACTTGTGATTGACTTGAAATGCACTTGTGATTGACTTGTGATGGACTTGTGATTGACTGGAAATGGACTTGTGATGACTTGTGATTGACTTGTGATGGACTTGCGATGACTTGTGCTTGACTTGAAATGGACTTGTGAGGACTTGTGATGTCCTACACTGGCTCTTTTAAGTAGACTACACTGCACCAACTAAAGTTTCTGTACAGAGGAATTCGTTTTAAAAGTAATTCAAATACTGTTTCATTAATTGTCACTGCATGGCGATTAGTTCCTTACAGTTCGTCACTTTCTTTTTCTTTTTCCCCCAGACATTTCTAGAGTGCATCAGACTGCGGACGTTTGGCCGTTACGGCCTGCAGCAGATCCAGGTGGACACCCACTATCTCAACTTGTACCTCTGGCGCTTCGTGTCCGATGAAAAGTGAGTTTTGTTCACGGACGATATACTTTGAGTTTTCCAAAAAGTTTAAGAGAAGTTTGTAAAAGTATGTGAAGCAAAAAAGAAAAGAAAATTTAAGAGAATTGTTTTGTTCTGAGAGGAATAAGAAATACCAGGTATTTTTTTCCTGATTACCCTCACAACATACTCACGAAAACTTCCAAGTTACTAACTCAAAACCAACTTCTCTTTTGAGAGTCAGTTGTTTAAAGTTTGCATTTATCAACATGTCAAGTAAGTATAATACTGAGAAAGAGGCCCCTAAAGTTTCGATGTTTTGTATTTGTGAAAAATGAAAAATGCATATTGTTTCCTTAAAGACACTTTTATTCTACAGTTTGTATACTCTTTCCTTAACACGTGTGTAGCAGACATATCAAAGATGATGAATATCAATAAATCTGAATATCCAAACAAATCACGCCCACTATTTCCTGTGCCCAGTTCCGTCTCATTATGCCAGACCGCCTCACATATCATAGGCAGTCATGTATTTACAGATCTAAACAGATGTCTTTGTACATGTATTGAGCAATCTTGTGCACCTTGGTGTTTCATCTGTTCAGATTGGTTCATTTCCTACTGGATGAGGTCGTGGGGAGTGCCCTGCATCGATGTCTGGATGCTGTCTTGATGGAAACTAGCGTAAGTACAAGACAATCTACTCCTAGTTTTAAAATACGTCCTTTAACTTTATATGCCATGGTCAGTTTTTTTTTCTTGGGAGTTTAAGACACAGATGTGGCTGTGTAGTAACCCAACCCAATGGCGTAATAGTACACAAATAGTGAATGTTTATGAGTGCAATGGTAAGAATAATTTCATGAGGTGACAAATGGAAAGTGACCTCATAGAATGGAACAATCCATCTGTCACCGAATGAAATTACTCTTTCCATTGCACAAATATGAGACATTAATTAGTGGTTTGTTACAACACCTAAATAAATCCTTGTCATCTTATTGGTCAGAGCCACCAAAAGTGTGACCGTACAATGACACTTCCATTCACCGTGAAATGGAACTTCTATTTTTGCTGTGTGGCCGCACCGCGTGTTGGGACGAATAGTTAAATGACACATGATCAACGACCCTCCAATCAGATGACGGGGATTCATTCAGGCGTTGTATAAAGACATTTAGCCTGTTATTCACTGTACCACCCCAAACCGCCCTGCCTATTACATGTGCTCCCTGTAGGGAACAACACCACTCGAATACTTGTCGTTTTTTTTTTAATTCATCGGTGAAACAACTTAATACAGTGGAGACCAGAAGCTAAAGGGTCAAGCTTCATCTACAGTAATAGTGACAGTGCTCTAAAAAAGTTTAGTTGAACCTAGGACTAGATTTGAAGAAATGGAGGATAAAGAGACATCCCTTTTTAATTTAGAATGGAATTGCCATTCAGGAATCAAACTATGGATATTTTGTTTCATGGAATATTGAGTTGGGAGATGTATAAATGAATGATGCAAATTTTATAACATAGATATTGAATGCGTTTCCGGCTGCTATATCAGGTTCAAACTGGCCAACCAACTGGTCAGCTTCGTGGTCTAATGCTCTAATAGATGCCTACGTTAGTAAAGGGGGGGGGGGGGGAGGGGGGCCTAAACGTCCTTACTCGCAGATGAGAAGCTAAATTGTGAAAGACGCGGCTACAACGTGGTCGAGCCGAAGGCATGTAAAGGCGCCTTAGGCTGCTGCAACACGACCCATCGTTGTACCGCCAGGGATCGAAGGGATCGGAGGTTGTGGGTTCGAGTCCCACCTGAGCGAGCTTGTTGGTTTTTTTCGTGCAAGCTCTCGGATGGCACTGAATAGACAGTGCGTGTAGAATTACGTTGTGGGACAAAGCCTCATTATGTACAAAGTCGGTGCTTTAATCTTGTACGGTCCACTACTTAATAAAATAGAATGTATGTACATATTTTATGGCCATACGTTGCATGAGAGAATGGGACACCAATCCTTAGAACTAACACAAAGGGTTATGAAATAGCCCACCTGCATCATGTACATGTGACCCACCACTCGTCTATGAATATGCTAATTTTGTTGTCCATCCAACTTGCGTTAATATATTGACTGGCATTTCTCCACCTATGAATATGCAAATTGGTCTGCCATACAGCTTCCAGAAATATATATTGATTGCCAGTTGAAGATATGCTGGTGGTGTGTGCAGCGTGGCTTTTTGACTCAATAAATCTTTGGAAACATCGAAACGGTTTTGCTCCAACCCATTTTATTGTTGTTGTTTTTTCCAATCATCTGTGCGCATTGTGTCCATAAATGGAGAGAAACATACTGGTTGCAAGTAATCGAGTGCTGCACAACTTGTTTACCAGTGCGTGACTACAAACCCAGAGGCCCCAATTTTTGTCTGAGACTCTTTTGATCCATGTTTTCAATTTACCTTTTCTACTAGGCTTGAGCATGCAGCTGCAACCGTTTTTGTGAATTGATTTTTTGATCCTGTCCACAATCAACTCTACGTTTACCCTGAAAAACCTACTGGTTGCAATTATTTTATTCGAGCGCCGCATTGTCTGTGCACCAGTGCGTGACTAAAGCCTTGGGGTCACAGTTTTTTGACCGAGATTCCATCGACCCATGTTTCCCACATACATTGAGCAACTGCATGACTTTATGAATCGATTTTTGACACAGCAAAACAGCATTGGGGAAAACCTCTACAACATCATGAATAAAATGCTTAGGGTAGCAGACCAGTAAATAAACTTCCATAGACCCCAATGGTAAATGCTCCCACTTACTTCAGAAATTCAGGAAAAATACTCACAACTCTCCAAGGTGTTCGAGACACACATCAAATTAAAGCTTATTTCATTATCTTTCATTTTCTTTTCAATTTTCGGGGGGGGTCAACTGATGACTTTTAGGAGAAATTTCCATCTGAAGATGATCACCTCTGAAAATAGTCCTGAAGCCCATCGCCATTTTGAAAAATGATGCCTACACTCCATTGCAAAATAGAGCGCTTTTAGGGTCCAAAGTACATCCAAATTACACAGAACTGCAAGCTCCCAGTCCTGTGCACGGCTTCCACCCATATTTTTTACAAACCCTCAAGTTCATGGCCCACAGCATGCTCAAATACTGAAGATTTTGAGGGCATGCAAATTGTGATTTGGCCGGCGTAGGCAATTTCGGACCGATTTACTGGTCTGCACCCTATAGGGATCATGAATGGGGGGTAAACAATGCAATCCATCTGTCTAATAGGTAATCATCATCCACATAGAAAATGCTTTTAAGTTCTTTACATTGGCTTTCCTTGGGGGGTCGATTCCTCAAAAATAACAGGTGACGATTCCAATTTTGAGTTCAGAATCTGCGGGACATTATTTTGGATAAACAAACTCACATGATGCTGTGAGCTTGCCGCTTGTTGCAGGCATGCAACTTTTCCTCGGATCAGCTGATTTCCTCTTTATTACTTCCCATGTGTGCCATTGAAAATAGAAAAACACTGTACAAAGTCTGGGAAAAATTTGATTTTCCTCTTTTTTTGGTAATTTCCCAGTTGCATGCCTGTTGTTGGACTAGGATCGTGTATGGTACATTCAATTGCATTATAACTGTAACCTTCCCAACTCCATCAAAATCCATCCCCCCATTTGGGGGGGGGGATTTTATTTAGGCATGAGTACTAAGTCCATCCAAATCCACCTATAGCATCGATTTGTGGATTTGTGGTGGATTTTGGCGGATTTGGCCCCGAAGCATTATGTGAAGCAGAGTCAGTGATGGATTTTGGCGGACTTGGTACCGTTCTTAGTCAAACTCAGTGGGGAGTTACCGGTAGGGTTAAGGAGCATAGCCCATCCTGTATTACAACCGCAATTTTGTGAATAATGCATTTTATCCAACGTTGATGATGACTTGCAATTTCTCCTCGGAAAGATCCTCATCTTTATCAAAACTCAGGGCTTTATATTTATTACTGATCCCAGAGTATCATTATTTGGGTTGTGCAGTGTCCGTCAACAGTGTTCAGTCTGATTAGGGAGATCAGGAGAATTCGGTTGACAAATGGGTAAAACGACTGGTGTCATGATATGTTCTTAAACAACACTGAATGTAGCATATGGTGTGCACCAGCAGTGCGTCCCTTCTTCAGTTTCTGTATAAGCACTCCACCTGCGTGTCAAATGTATGGCATAGCCAGTTTATCTTTGTATTACCCAAACATGACACACAATTCAAGCCTGTAATTTTCATCAACATACTGGGCAGTTCAGTAAATTCAACGTACATGTCACACGTTTATGAGCTGCTGTTGGAAAAGTGAAAGGGGTACATCACTAACAATGTGGCATCTAATGAGTAGAAAACAATTACAGACCAAACTAAGGTACCACCACCCTTAACGACCTTGAACATGTAACATCATTCGGTCGGACGTGCGTTGGATGTATGGAATTGCCCTACTATTATAAGATCAGCTCGACTGAATATATTTCCCACTAAATCTACAAGCAAAATTCATGGACCAGTTGGCTTGGGTATAGAATCTTCATTTCTTTTTCGCTTTTTCTTCACAAAAATTAAAAAACACCCTGCACATTTAATGACAAAACCTGCATTTGTAATAGTTGAATTTACAAGATACAGTTGGTATAGCGGTTCTTGCCAATATGTTTTTTTGGCTGTGGGTGTCTGATCGTAAATATGCAAAACCGCAGTGCAGACTTAGCCATATTTGCATATGGAGTGACTTTGGAAAATATCCTGGTAGTTGGAACTGGTATCAGCGGGCATTATGCTGATGCATATGTTAATACTGTGCATCAGTGAACACAAAGTATAAAGTACTGGTTAACAGAGACTGGCGCGAACGTAATAGATACTATGTATTGGATAGTTGCCATCTGCATAGTAGAACAAAAACCTAAAGGGCAACTCCAGGATTGGTGCCTGTTTGATACAGGGGACTTTTTTTTGCAGCATCTCAACCATGAATATCAATCAAAATTGAACTGTCCGCTTATTGTATGAACTTCCAAGCCAAATTGGCATTTCTCATCACTAGGTTGTAGGCCTTCCAGAAATATGCAACCATATCCAAATGTCATGTCGTACAAAAAATGTCAGCTTTCAAAAGTGAAGGCCAAAGCATGATTTGAGAGGAGTACCATTGCCTCGTGGTCTGGTGCACTGAATTCGTGGTCTGCGGGTAATTCTGCAGGTTGTGGGTTCGAGTCCAGCCTGGGGTTGTGGTGCGTGTGTCCTTGGGCAAGGCACTTTGTCGCTTATTGCTTCTCCCCGCCTGCACCCAGGAGTAAATGAGGACCTGGGAGGATAGAGATGGTTAAAATGTTTGTGTTAGATTTAGCTGATTGCCCCGATAAGGCAGTATTGAGCTGTATACTCCCCAGGGAGCTGAGATATCTTTGGAATGTTTTCATTGGCCCGGTGAGCAGGGGTAATAATATTGTACCACGCCTTGATAACCGGTTTAGTTGATGCGTGTGCTATATAAATCGATATTTAGACAGTTTTCCCATTGGTCGAGAGCCTGTCACGTGGCCACTCTTAAATGGATGATAAAGACATTGCTGGCTGGTCTTAAACACTTTTGCAGTGTCACATGAAATTTGGAATCCTATGAAATCCAGTGCCTCTTACCGTTTTATTGGTGAACGTTCACAGTCCTCACGTGGGCATGCGCAATACTACCAGTGAGTCAGCATTTCATAGTCCTAAATTTGCAATGCACTAACCACAGCTGCATCTGTGCGTCATTGCGCAGTACGTGCGACACGCGTGCCAATCTCCATAAAAGGAGTTTACATCGTACTCTCGAGCTTGACACTCCATTATATAGCTGGAGGAGTGTTTTGAAAAACAATTGTTGAACAAATTCGCTGGAAATTTTCAATTTTTGACTTGTTTTGACTTTTGGACCGCGCCTTGGGTAATTATCAGCATTCCAGACTCCAACCAGTCTTAAACATAGTGTTTAACACCTCCCAAGCGCACATTTATTCCCTTATTATTATTATTATTATTATTATTATTAAATCTAAAGATATGATATTTCTAAAGGTTGTGGAGACCTATCTTTAAGAGTTATTCAGAGTTCTAAAAAAAGAACAAGGGACTCACATGCCTTGTTGGGCATTTAAAGGCAATGTTTAATGTCTGCAGTCTGCACACAGCATACACAGCATTTTCTCTTTGTCTGGGGATGTGTTAATACATTTTCAAGTCTTCTCAATTTCATATCCAACAACGAGATGCAATAAAATGCCCTACAGTTCAACTCCTACCATCATCATCTCTATTTTCACTGTCTCACTTTACATGTCCAAAGCTAAGCCATGCATATCCAGCAGCATATAAAAAACAAAACCAGAAGCCATTTGATATTCCACAAGTGGTTTCTGCATATAGACAGCCAAGGCCAAGCCTGGCTAACTTGATAGATATACTGGTACAATGGCGCTCAGTTTTTCTCATTAAAATTGGGTCGAGTAGCTAAGGCCAAAAAAAAAAGTCTCCGGTTTCTGGTATGGAGCTTGCCCAAAAAGTGGTGCGGCGACGCGGCTTTTTTTTTTTTTTTTACCTGATTTTTTTGCTTCAAATGTCGGCTGATGACTGCAAATGGTGCCCGACTAAACTTAGTGCAAATATATGGGAGTCCAGAGAGGCCACATAAAGCTTATTCTCGACCATAACCCAATCCAAAAACACGTTAAAATTGTGCAGCAGCAGGATTCCAGTCAAACCAGTGAGTTTGGCGGTTTTGAGACATCAAAAACTTTTTCATTTTGCCGACACGCATGGCTACGGCGACGCACGCGCATACCAGAAACCGGAGACTTTTTTTTTTTGGCCTAATGTTTAAAACGTTTGTTTTTGCAATATGCCTAAGTTCTCAGCTTCTTGCCCAAAAGGTTGTGAATTGGTCCTTACAAGTAATATACATTTACTTTTTTCTGTAATTTTCAGAAATAGATGGATTTGGGGGTTAGTATATTATAGCAAATATTGTTACCCTGACCTGTTTGAAGTTTTGTAGGCATGGATGCTAGAAATACCAAGAGAAAAATGCTTTTTTTTTTGTAGTCTGGTTCCCTGACCCTACTTCAGTCGAAACAGAACAACTTACAGATGTCGAGAAATTGTCAGGTCAGGGAACCAGACTAACTGGCCTGCACCCGTTCACTGATGTGTAACCGATTGCAAACAAAATTGTTGACTAAATAAATTTGGGGAATAGGGGGCAGTATTTGAAAAAGAAATTTTTTTTTTCCAACGATGGTTGGCTGACCATCATTGGAAATTGATATAAAAAAATCCCACTTTTCCACTTTAAGGTATGTTTTGCTAAAATTCACTTTTCACTGGCATCGTCACAAGTGGACCTTTCGTTGAGAACCAAGTCGGACAACAGAATTGCATAGATGCACATATTCACTCCATTCAAATGTGAACATGCTGTTGATGATATGAATTATTCATGAGCAGTGTGGGAGGGGCTTAGGGTGGGAGGAGAATACTATACGGCTTTTAAAATGCAGTGAGTAGTGGTTGATAGCATCTGATCATGTCTGCAAACATCTTATGTCTTGTTTCATGTCTTGAATTTGTGAGGCGTTCTGGCAAAATGAGACAGAACTGGGAACAGGCCGTGTTGGAGTAAAATGCAAAACAAAACTGAAAAGGGGTGATTTTTTTTTGATTTTCAGGTTTATTCATATATTGGTAATCTTGAATGTGTCTTCTACACATATGTTAAAGACATAGTAAAACATTTATGTGGAATAAAAGCGTTGTTTTTTTTAAAGGAAAAACAACTATCATCTTTAATTTTCATGTTACAAAACAAATCTCTTTTATTGAGTTTGTGAGGTTCTGACTAGAACCAGGGAAACTCGACTATTAGAAAGGAAGTTACAGGTATCATTCTCATTGATGGAGATAAGGAAGTTTTAGCCCTTGCATTACATTGTCCTTCTCTGTATTTAGCTGGGGCAGCTTGGGGCGGTATAAGGAATAACAGGCGGGGCACTTTGGGGCGGTACAGGCGCTAATTATTATTAATCATTTCTGGTAATGAAACCAAGGATTCCTCAAAAGCGCCCTAGGCACTGTAGCTCGCAAGCCTGAAGAAACCTGTGGAGAGAAGACAATGAGAAGAAGTTACAGTTTTAGAGGCGGGAGGAATAGGTTGAGGAACAGTTGCTTCTTTTTTTCCTTTGGCTTTTACAAAAACGTGACACACAGACATTAGACAGACATCAGACAGACAGACAGACATCAGACAGACAGCGTAGGATCTTTTAATGTAGGATATGATGTGGTGTAATTCACATACACTCACTCACCTACCTAAATGATCTACTCAACAAACCAAGGGAGGGAAATACTGTTCGTTTCGTGGGCCCTATTGCTCCCATTCTGCTTTTCTGATATCAGCTTGTTACTTTTGGGAGCTACAGTTTTACCATCGATGCACGCTAGTCTCCTCATGCAACACCCAAATCATCTCAAAGAAGTGCAAAATGTACAGTTAAAAGAATATCTGAACATCTGGCCACCTATCAACGCTGTGAGGGCATGTGGTATCGGAATACGGTGCCGATACAGATCATGTTGCAGAATTGCAGTTACCTCCATGCAGATGCTTTCGGTTTTTTTCCCCTAGATTAAATATCGAATGTTCTTTGTCTCTTCTTCAGATCGTGGAGGTCATCTGTGATAGAGGCTGACATGTGATATGCCATTCTCACCCTATCAGCAATGGATAAACTTCAATATTTCCATTCCAAGGTACTAAAACTGTTTTAGAGAACAGTATTTTTACCCAGGAAAATGCATTATTACTCTGCCCTTATTTGCAAAAGATGGCCTTATTCAAGTGCAATAGATTTCTGTGGGATGCAGCACCAGCTTGCAAAGGGTTAGATTGGGCAACACTTTATAATTTTGTAGTGGGTGTCATGTTGACTGTTCATGTAGTAAATTACATAACCGGCATACGGATCCTTTTCGTTATTGCTACCATTCACGCCAGGGCTCAAAAAGTCCCATTCGCCCATGGGGAATTCAACAGTTAGGATCAGTCTTGTTCCATGACGCGGTATTTGTGTGCAAATGCATGCTGGTGTGCGCGTTCAGGTTTCGCGCAACGCGTATTGTTCCACAGAGTTGGGTTCAAACATTTCCGTGAAGGGGTGGTTTGGAAGAGAGAAATACATTTTCCACCAATTTTGTATTGAAATAAAAGTTCAAGTATATCAAATTACAAGTATCTGTATGTCAGTTATATAAAACAAATATGGAGTGGCTTTCAATTGTGAAATGGGAGGAATTTTATCGCTCGGTAAAATCTGGACTTTTCCAGTTCACTCGGCTTTGCCTTGTGAAATGGAAAAGTCCAGATTTTACTTTGCAATGATATTCCTCCCATTTCACTCTGAGCCACTCAATATTTGTATACTAGACAACCAAGACATTTGTAGTGACTTGCTGCTCAAGAACCTCATTTCATAAGCTGTGCTCCACAGATTATTCTTCTGCCAACCTGTGCGAAGTAAAAATGACTTGTAAACATTCCTTTGTGTAACTCTTTATTTTACAGAAGGTTCATTTAACCGTAATTGTAATGCACAAAATATAGAATGTGGAAAGTGCAGCTTTAATCTGTCATAAGCAGAGTACACATGATATCAGTATTTGCCTGCTCAACCTGATTTTGAGTTTTAGGTTTCCTATAATGCTCAAAAGAAAAGTTTGCTTAAAGTTGCTTAGAAGGAGGATCTTTTGGGGCTTAGCACACAAAAAACCTGGCTGAGCACGTAAGTCAAAAAGTGAAGTTATCTACATTGCTTGTGGCATGCTTTCAGCTCGCAACTTGTTTTCAGCATAGCATCGAACTTGCAAAGCAATGTGTTCTGGGTCTGCATAAAAATTGGGCCGTGGATTTTTTCAACAATCAGTCATCTGCCACCCAATTCAAATTAACGTATTGTCATGAAAATGACTAAACCCCAATTAATCCACTTATTAGAAGAAAACAAAATTTAAAATATAAAGCCTGGCTTCTAGCTTAATTTAGATTTCATTATCATCAGATTTTGTGCTCGTTTTGTTTTAAGATTGTTTGCAATCCTAAAATCAGTGGTCCTATGATAATTGGATTCATTTTTGCCAAATGACTGCTGGTTGCTTTTAATTTTCGGGAGCGTAATTAAACGACAGATAGGACTTTTTAATTTTGTTATGAAGTAATTAAAGCTGAGGCAAAACCTGTGCAAGGGAAGAAGACAGATAAGTCTGAATCTGCCACGCTGTCTTTGACCCAAAAAGTAAAGAAAATGGGACGATAGGTTTTCAACTTAGTGGTGGGTCAAGGGAGTGAGGGGGTCTAAACCACCCTCTCCTCCCCCCCCCCCCCCTTGCCCCCACCCCCCGACCCCCCCCCCCCCCCCAAAAAAAAAAAATCACGTTTCCCCTGAAGGCAGAATTTACACCAAAAGTCATTCCCAAAATCGTGCTGTCCAAAGTGCTGAAGCACTTACGCATTTCCTTAGTACTGTGTGTATGTATTTGTGGTGCAAGTTATTGACAGATATTGTAAATTCAGGTGTCCTGTTGGTAAAAGTGGAAATATGTTAAGATTGTAAATAGTGTAAACTTGCTAGGCCACAAGCCTTGTAATTCTTGAACAAATTTATTAATTTATAGTTTTAATTAGGAGTAAAATTAAGTTTGTATCGGTAAAAACATATTATTGTACATGTGAAGTAAAAACAATAAAGCTAGCTGCACATGTAAATTATAATTGTTTTATGGCTTTTCGGAGGTATTGCATAAATTAAAATTTAGGAGAAGTGGCAGTCAATGGCACAGCTGCTAATCAGGCTGTTCTGGCATTGCACCAGCAGCCCACAGATTTGTAAATATAAATATGAATAGGTTGTGTCCTTACAAATGTGAGTTTCTTTGCTTCAGTTTGTTGGGGTGTTGGGGTGTATGTTTTTTTATTTGCTCAATAATGTAAAGTCGTCCTGAAAGCTTTCTAAATTATTTCTATGGCGCACAGAAAAATTCTGGTAGCATTATCACTTGCAGACACACACATTTTGTTAAGTAACCAATTCCCCCCCCCCCAAAAAAAAAAACCCAACCCCAATCCCACTAACACATCTGCGTTTGTAATTTACCTTCACATAAAATTGCAACATATGGTTTTGTTGGCCTATTTATCAGGATGTTCAAAAGGTAATATATATGATGGTGGTGCAGATCGAGTATGGTTCCGCTGAAACTACTGATGGAAATATGCCAACAAAATGAACTAATTAAATTTGGAAGCACTGGCCTTCAGAAAATGTCGTGTTTTAAAAAAATTTAATAATTTCCGAGTATTTTATTTTTGAATTTTGGGGAAAAACATTGGGGATATCTCGATCAGAAGCGGCTTTTTGCAGGGCTGGGGGTGGGGGATATGCAGAGGATCTAGACGGATATGAAGGCTTGGTAGTTGGAGTCGTTGCCTGTGACAGCGTGTGATTATTAGCAAGACCCCGTGTTAAGCACCAGAGTAGCAGTTGATGTCTTGAAATCAATGGAACAACTGCGGCACTAGTACTTAGAACAGAGCAAGCAAAAACACCGTCGATGTCTCGCAGGATGGCTGGTCAAAACCTCACAGGATGCAGATCGCATAGGGTACGTCCCAACTCGAGTTGAAAACCGGTTCAGTTGCTGTTCTGTCCGCCGACAAAGGATTAATTTCTCGTCGAACGGCGTGGTTTATGTTGCAGTCGTAATGTGGACTTACAATAAGAATTTTTTTGTTCAATTAACTGCGCAAAACCTTGTGTTATTTACCACCTGTATCGATTACAGTATATTGGCTGTATAAAGAATTTCTACTAATTAAAATGGAATCATTTTTAGCGTGTGCCTCGTCCGAACTTAATACCTTTTTGGTGATATACGAGTAGCCTGGAAAATTAGCTTACGACGAGTCACTTAGATATTCGGTAATAAAATGGTGATGCGGCGCGCAACAAAAAAACAAACGGCCATAAAACCATCTGTTGATCGAGAAGCGACTTTGCGTTCTAAATTTTTTTAAATGGATATGGGATTATTTGAAAAGGTAGCTCTGTGGACGTTTGTCTCGTAGTCGTTAAAAATTTGCTGTATTTTGATGCATTATCATGTGCGCGTGCGCGATTTTGAGGGGGGGGTGTAAAGGACAGTGGTTATCAAACGCTAAGCCTTCTGACAATTAAAAATCAACGTGTAGTTCGTGGTAGCCTCCACATTAAGGAGTAATGCGCAGGTAAAGTTCCTCACGAAATACCTGCGGCACTACTACTTAGCGTGGTGGGAACCAAACACAAAGCGGTAAAGTTCACCACGACGGTTTTGACGTGAAGATGTCATCCAAATCGCTACAATTTTCAGTCAGTAAATTTTGAGGAGAAGTAGATGGATATTTCTGACTGTTTTACCATTTTATAAAACAAAATGTAAAGACGCTTTCTGGACATTTCGCTATTAAAAGAAGCTGAATGAGATTTATGGCTTCTATTCAAAATTGCTAATCGTGAGGGGGAAAAATGAAATGGTCCCAGTTATACGATTCAGGTCTATGTTGTGATGTAGTAATATGTGATGCGGACACAATGATAGTTCATCAATTTAAACGAATTCACCTAATTAAGGACTAATTACTAGGCCTACCGTCGTTCCACTTGAACTGAAAATAATTAGCATGGTATACTCGTGGATTTATATGTATGTACCCGCATAATCACCACACATCGGTACAAACATTAAAGCGCATATGGTCTGTTTGTGGATAATGCAAAGTACGAAGCTAAGGAGCGTATACCAAAGTGTGTTTGTTTGCGAGTTCAGCTCAGAATTAGAATTCTGGTTGCATTGACCTTTGAGAACGAGGAAGAAGGATGTTTGATTGCACATTGCATTGTCTTGGGGTGAGCTCCTAGCCCTAGACAAATGAAACGCTCTTGGGCAAATGGATGAGTATATAGGCCACATCGAGTTATATATAGAAAACTCTGGTCTAGGACAAAACCGTTACCTTTTTGTGCAAGTTTCGAAAGGACGGAAATGATTGGTACTAAAAAGGGAAAATACGAATGTTATTCAATGGATTTTGAAAACTTGATAAATAAATAAATCTATGCTTCGGCACTGCACCACTTGAAATGTACAGAAATTAAGTATGAAAACTCTGCAAAAATGGCTCATAGGCCTATAAAAACAGTATAGGTTTGTAAAAAAAAAATCGGTTATCCTGCGGTTATTTGACTCGATATTAATTTGCTTAAAATGAACATGTACTTATGTACATTGGTTGGTATTCGCCTGTTATATCCGGCTTAAATTTCTTTTATTATGTTTAGACTATTGCGTTCGTGTACAATTATAATCGAACTAAAATATTCATCCTTTTTTTCGGCCCGGGTAGTGAGTTCGGTCTTCAAATCTGTAAGTTGTACCATGGCGTAAAAATCAAGGTTTTTCAGAACCAACCCCAGCGGCCACGATAAACCTAAACCCTGAAATCACGAACTTCCCCAAACCACGGAAAGTTGTCGCTTACTAGCGTTAAGCATGGTATAAAAGGGCCGCGATATCGCTCGTTATATACAGAAAACGCGAATACCTAAATGAGCTTGGTAAATACTTAATTTATTAATTGTATCAACGGGTCATCAGTGACGCTTACAAAATGGATGAAGTGGATTTTGTTTTCAAGACGAGTGGTCAGTTTTTGTTCTAGTGGGTGGTGCCGTATACATGTATACCCATTCGATTGTTTTTATAGAGTATTTGAGTGTGAGTCAAGTTCGTTCCGTTTCTGCTTTTCATCAAACAAATAAACACGACCACACTGCAATTTAATTGAGAATAAACATGATTCCCTTACCTTTGCAGTTCTCTGCTTAGCCGGATTCGATCCAGTGCTGGCACGGACGGAAGATGCATTGCACTTTAGGAAACAACTTGGGCTTCCAAAAAAAATGAATACCACACCCAACAAAATGGTGTTTTTCACATGATTAAAGTAATATACAACTGCACTTGTTAGTGCTCTTTCATTATCAATTGCAGGCCTGGGCCTATACAGGCCGGAATTAACCGAGTCGTGGCCTTTACGGGTGTTTTCCCTATCCAAATCCGTACTGATGCTGGTGGGTTGGTTCGCTGTTTGGTGTTTTGTTGTCTCCCACTGAATGCTGTAGTTTTGTGATCGTCCATATAGGCCATCACTCTGTTTCGATTCGTTTCGCTGACTACAATGGATATCAGCTTGCTCGGGCTTTATACCGCACCGCAGAACCATAAGGTCACGTTACTTCGGCTCTTTTTTCATAACTTTAATTTGCATAATAATTGTACATATATTTAATGATTTTAATGACACGGTGATGCATCGGTTGTATTCGCCACAGCAACAGCGAAATAGGGAAATGGGTTCGTTAAAAAAGTTTAGAAATAAACCGAGGAATGGTCTTTTAAAAAGGATGAAACGATCGAGAATTCTCGTTTGAAGAAGCTGTTTGATTGAATGTGCTTTGGTTTTTTTGTTCCAAAATAATATTGTTTGTTTCTTGTTCTATTCATTTTTATAATTACTACACATATTTTTAAATCAATTAAATCCATACAATTTTAGTTGAGAGTTTCATATCCATATTCTCGCGGAAAACGTAAGTGATTTGGCTTACAAACAAAATGGTCAGCTAAATTTGCGAATCTCTTTTGAACAGGGCTCCATCTTAGAAGGAAAAAAGACGCCAATGTATTAATTTTCTAACAGTACAGTGTTTCGATACTGTAATTAAGGATATATTGAAAAGTAACACAATTATTTTCGTTTAATTATTGGTGTGCTTAATTCAGCCGTCTCGGTGTCGAGCCTAAGTTAAAAAAGCAATGATTTTTTTTTTTTTTATAATTTGGTAGTTACGTATTGGTAAAGCTGCAGCATTTCAAAATAATTTTATTGAAAATGCTCAACAGCAAAATGGTAAAAATGTCATTCCAATTTGCATTCATTTAGCATTATTTCCATTTCAAGGAAAGGTATTTCATTAACCGACTGTGTATAGAGCAACAACAGTCGCGTTTGTCTATGGTGTAAATCGAGGACACACACGTGCAACATCATCAGTGAATCGAGGACAGGAACCAAATCGAGGACGACCTCGATTAAAAAAACGTGTACAAAACCAATGAGAGCTAGCTGTTGCGAAAAGCTGTACAAACAAAGAAAATGGAAGAGGAACAAAAGAAAATCCTCGATTTACAAATAAACAAACGTGTGTCCGTGCATGCGTGGAGAGGGTTTTGCCACTCATTCACACTCAGCATATTGGAAGCTTTAGCCCAGTCGGTCGAA